CAAAACAAAGCATGGGCAGGGTGGGAGGGACAAAAACAAGTATTTCCAGTATTTCTCAAACCATAAAAGGTATTTTTAGACTCCTGAAAACGGTTGCTTGGGAAGATTGAATGACTGACGAAATAATATCTGGACCTCAGTGAACTTAATCTCTGTTGGAAAAATCTCCAAGGTTCAGAAAAGGACGTGTGGTCTCTTTATGACCATTTTTTTTTTTAGCCATCCCCCCCCCTTGGGCGTGGGGAGTGCAGCTCCTCACAGGTGTAAGTGTGGGCTCTGCCTTGGTGAGGACTGTTGGATGAATGTAGGTCTGCTGTACTATGCTTGTCTCCTGTTAGTTCCCTCCTTCCGTTTCTGAGGACCCACCATCCTGTAGCATACTGGTGTCCGGAGGTGTCCGGAGGTGTCCGGAGGTGTCCGGAGGTGTCCGGAGAACTCTGTTGTAAGTCTGCCGTGTCTGGGGGATTTACCGGCTTGTTCCCGCCCAAACTCCAACTGGTTTCCCAGTAGTAAAAGAACCGCTGGTCCCGGTCCATCTCTGGGCTGAGCTACCCTTCCCTGATCTCCCAGTACTTTCATCAGGAGGGCATCAGTGGCACAATGGCATTCTGTTGGTGTGGTCTAGTTGGTACCCAACCATGAAGCAATAGCGTTCATGAATCCTGATTAGCCCTATCTTGCTGGGGAAGAGAAAGTAGCTCAATATGAACCAGGGTTTTGAGCCCAGAACACACTGCCCCATCAGAGGGTGATGAAAAGCCAGAGTCAGAGATAACTCAGGAATCTTAAGACAGGAGAACGAGGGTTCTTTTATATACAAGACCCTGAGACTGATAGGGGCTGACTCCAGAGATGAGACAATAAGAGCTCTGTTTGAGAAGACCGAGCTGTTTTGGGGCCAAGGGGGCTTTAAAGGACTCTATTAAGAATTCAGGCAGGGCTCCCAAACTGGAAAGTAGAGTCAACAAAGAATTTAGTTAGAAGACAGTGGGTATGAAGTGAAGCCTGATTTGCCTGGAATAAAGCGAGGGGAGAAGATAGTTCTTGGCACGGAGGGAGAAGTTTGTCTGTGTGTCTGTGTCTGTGTGTCTATGCTCCCACTACTGAAGCAGCTGAGTCTTGCTGCAAACATATGAAAACAAAGATCCATCACCATCAGAAAACAAACAAACAAAAACATAGGACCAAGGTAGGTGTGCAGATGCAAGTGAGTCATCCCAGATAAGACCACACAGGTGTGTCCGGCATCCAGGAGTGTTCCTGGCAATGCAGCCTCTCTCCCATGGAGTTCTGATGGGAAGTGATGACACACAACCCAAGGCTATCCCAGACAAAGCTTCCATAGGAAAGTGGGGTTATAGGATAAGTTGTGGGGAGGGTGGATATCTCCAAAGAAAGAATGTGAATCTTAACCTGGAATCTCCTAAATTTCTCTGGAAGATGCCATGGTGGGACCTGCCACCTGGCAGTCAAGGGAACTTTTAAAATTAAGTTGTTTGTAGTTTGAGCTGAGCCAGCCATTTTGTGGTCTCTTTTCCTTTTGATTTTGGTTTCAGAAGGTTTTATTTGGGGATGAGGGACCAAAGAGTCTCTTTGTGACCACTAAGACCTCAGTGACAGAGAAGAAATAAGATCAAATGGGCCCCTTTAAACTCTTAAGAACCCCTGTGTCAACTTGGAGTGGTGAATGCTTCCTAAGACTCAAACCCCAGAAGCTGAGAAAATAAATATAGTAATTCCTTGATAACCTCAGGGGTCAGTTCCTGAGAATCTTGGAATACCAACATCCAAAGATGCTCAAACCTCTGTCTAAAATGCTGTCATATATCATGACACCCAGCCTCACTGGGCATGGAGGTGTGCACCTATAATCCCAGAATTCCAGAAGTAGGAAGGCAAGAGGATCATTCCAAGTTCAAAGCCAGCCTGATTTACATGGCAAGATCTTGTCTCAGAAGACCAAAAATTAAAAATGTAAATGCTGGGGCTGGTGATGTGTGTGAATTGGTAGAATGTCTTCCAGCATATTTGGATGTGGGCTGGATCCCCAGCATCCTGTAAAACCAGATGCGCAGCACACTCCTTACAATCCCAACACATATGAAGTAGAGGGAGGGGGAACAAAAATTCAATGCCATTCTCTGTTACCAAGCAAGGTCAAGTCCCTCATAGGATATATGCGACCCTGTCCAAAACACAAACAAACACAAGAGAATTGTTACACAATTTATATGTGTCAAATTGCATACTTTTCATATTCTGAGGGACCAGCTTCTCATATTTGCCAGGAAAAGGGAAAAGACCAATAGAGATGAAACAAATAGTTGACAGAAAAAGAATTATACAATCATACATTGCCTTCAAATGTGTGGAAAGATACGAATAAAAAATAATATAAGAAAAGAATTTTTATTTATAAATTTGATTTTTAAAAAAACCAAGAGTCGGATGTTTCAGAGAAGGTGTGGAGGGTAAACACCTCTGTGAATTGGTACAGCCATAAAGGCCAGCAGAGAGACTGTTTCTATCAAAGCTAGAATGGTTAGTCTCCTCGCCAAGGCGCTAGTGTGTGTCCCTCCAGAACTGCCTTTCACTGTCTTTCCCTAGGCTCCTGTCTTCCAAGCACACCACCCTAGTTGAGTTTGGACATAATGAAATAAAGCATGCATTCTTAGTTCCTACCTGGAGCCACTTTGGCCTGGAGGTGTCATTTACTTTCCTGTCATAACTCTTCATATGGGATTTTCTCCTTACAAATTCATGTTGGCTTTCGTTTTTTCTCTTCAAGGCCAGAGTAGTAATACTTCCCCTATTGCTAGCAGGAGGTACCCACTGGTGGGCATGCATCTTATCCACATGTGTATAACTAGACCTTATTAAAGTCTTCCTCAAAATATGCAAACTGAACTGTGCTGTTCTCTGTAATAACATAATAGCCATATACCCACTGTCTTCAGTGCTATAATAACAGAATAGCACAGATTGGGTCATTTTTAATAAATAGAGGTTTGCTTGGCTTACAATTATGCACACTAGGAAATCCAAGATCACAACCACAGCGGGAATGGCTGGACAAAAGTGAGACTAAATCCCAACACCAAACCCTACAGTTGCGGGTCTGGCATCTACGGTTCTTGGTGATAGCATCTGAGCTCTGGCAGTCTTGGGCAGCCCTGACCCTCACTCAGTTCTACCTGTGGTGCATATAGCCTTCTCCTTGGACCAGCTCCAACTTGCCACTCGCAGCTTTCCTTGGTGAACATCCCACATTTTTGACATGGTTTCACGCATAGCCTATTCAGGAGATGCATGCAAAAAAAACAATGTACCCCTCAGGAACTTTTGAAACACTGGTGTTAGACGCCATTAATCTACTCACTCTTGGGTCTGGCCTTGCATTCCTACAAAAAACAGGACCACACAGAACACCAAGATCTACTGCCAACTTGTGATGTAGGCTGGGCTCCCTGGGTCACAGCGGCTGTCCTAGGCAGCAGTTTTCCAATGGGGAAGAGGCACCACTGAGTCCTATGTACCTCTTTAGTTGTTTTCTTGTCACATGAAATGCATTGTTATAGCCCAGAGCTCTCAGTGGGTGGCATCTCGCCTTCAAGATAACTTCCTTGTGATCCTAGTCAAGTGTAGACTCCTTGGTTTGTGCTAACATCTTTAACAGTTGCCAGGCCTTCATCCACGCCCACCCCGCCTACCAGCAACTTTAAACTCAGTCCCTTCCTTGCCAGGCTGCATGTTTTTCAGCATCGCCTGTTGCTCTCTTTCAGCACATGAGCAGGAACCATAACAGCCTGCATGTGTATCCTGTCTTTAATTAAGATGTCTTCCTCCAAACATCACTCCATGACTTTCAACTCAGCCTATTCAAGACACAGGCAAATTCTTTGCCAGACTGTAACACAAGTGACCTTTAACCAACTTCCCTATAGAACCCTTGCCCCTCTCTGAAACCATGCCAGCACGGTCTTCACTGCTTGTTTATCTGGCAGCATTTTGGTCTCCCAAGATTGTAACAGCAATGGCTACACTTGTTACAGTTTTGGTCACCTTCCTCACTTCTGTAACCAAATACCTGACCAGAAGCAACTGGAAGGTTGCTCCCATGGTTTGGGAGTCTAATCCATCATGGCAGGATCAGTGGTGGGTGGGACAGTCTCGTGTGGCAGTGGGTCCTTAGAAGAGGCATGCTGTACAACTATATTTTAGAAAAGGAAGAGTGTTTTCTTTGGTGGGAAGGCCTCTCAAATTAATTAGTAGAAAAAAAGTAAGTAGAAGGGGGCTGAATATTCTACCTCTTGCCTAAAAGAAAGGAAGTACATTTGGCCAGGAGGGTGTCTAAAATCCTAGCACTTGGGACAATGAGGTAGGAGGCTTGCTCAAGTTCAAGCCAGCGAGTGTTACAAGTAATTGTAATACAGGCACTGGAGAGATGTCTCCGCAGTTACGGGCTCACAGAGGCTTCAGATTCAATCCTCAGCACCCACGGCTCTTAACTGCCTGTAACTCCTCCTAGATGTCCCTCCACGGTGCCACTGCTCACAGACACACACTCACACACAGACACAGACTTCTAAATGTAATTATTCAATAATTAAAATAGATTTAGCCAAATGCCTAGTTCCTGTTCCAACATTTAAGCTTTAGAAAAGTCTCCTTAACGAGAGCAAATCGATGGTCCAATCCCAAGGAGCTGGCTGCCTTTGTGTTCTTGCTGCCTTCAAACTCCATATGCAGCTGAGGGTGACCTCGAACTTTTGACCCTTTTACCACCTCTCTGAGTGCTTAGGTGACAGGCGTGCACCATCACACTGAGTCTCTGCAAGGCTGGAGAACCGGTTCAAAGCTACCAACAGAACCACATCTGCAGCTCGAAGTCAGCTAATTCTCACTCACCGTTTCTTATCACACACATGTATATCATGTGCATCTTACAATTGAATTGGGTACTTCTGAATTTTGATCACCTCGGTATTAATTTCTTCCAGATATGAGAGCAGAGAAAGGACTCACAAACTCACCAGGATGCTTTCGAGCCACACCTTCTCCAACATCGGTTTACTTAGCCTGTATCTTGTGGGTAAGTGCTACTTTTCACCACAGCTGTTAGAGGAGCAAGCCTCGTCCGCGTCATCACACAGAGCTCTGGTGTGGAGGGGCCTGGATCAGCATGACCAGCATCAGGCAACCCACATTCCCCTCCCTGGTAATTTGTAGTCAAACCAGAATAATATAAGGTACAATCATATTAGGGAAACATCCTTGTTTATAATCTCCTTATCCTTAAGCTCAATCCACAGTGGAATTTGGAAGAGGACAGCCCCTTTATCTCTTTCCATCTACACTAAATTGAAAACCCAGCCCAGAACTTGGGGTTATGTGTTTCTATATTTTTCTAAGTCCTTGTCTTTACTACAAACCTATTGTTTTGTTTTGTTTTGTTTTTTCACACCCTTCCTCTGTTCTTCCTCTTGACTGTTTCATTTGACAGATGACCACAGTGTTATTTGTCCCGCAGTTTGTCCCTAGGGAATCAACGAGTGTGACATTGTCTCGGTATAAGTACCCATGGATGAGGTGTACCACCCAGGTCTCTACCTTCTATAAAGTGCCAGACTCCAGTCCCATCAAGTCATTGCGAGATCCGGAAATAAATGTCCCCCCTTGCTTGAACCAACTCCAAGGGGACAACACTCACTAATTCCCATCACTGACACCCTTTCTTCATCTTGTCATCCTTGGCAAATATCTCTACCTTTAAAGTATATTAATGGACAGCGCGCTTATTTCATATTCTGAGAAATTTTTCATGTAGACAGCTGCTCCTCAGACACACCCCCTCCCCTTGCCCAACCCTTGCATTGTGTTAGGTCCCAGAGACCCCGCTTTACATCTGCCTTGAATGCCATCCTCAGGCCACGCAAGTGTCTGTGCTACCAACGCTAGCCTTGGTGGTTGTGTTAGCACAAGCAGATGTCAGTGTTAATTAATGCGCATATGTCAGGGACTCTTGAGTGATGGTGATGGTCTGAGTCCAGAATAAACCTTACTGTGCATGTTTTTCTTCCTCCTAGTGTTCGTGAGCCTACAGTTCTGTTCATCATCTACTTTTGAGGGTAAGAATTAATCCGAGTTTGACAAAATTTAATGTGAGGGGCAGAGTCTCGGGCTACCAGGCAGGAAAAGGGAAAGTTTGCTCTCAGACATGCTGACAAGTTTATTGGGACCCTCTGACCATGAGAAGGGCTAAGACTGTCCAACTGCAGTTTCCATTATTTGTCTCCTTAAATTGTCATAAGGAAAAACACTAGCGATCATTAAGAAACCCCTTACAGAAACATTGAAGCTTTTAACCCCTCACTGATAAAAGAATGAAGAAACAAAATATGATCCAGACATAATTTGTCTTTGATTTCTAATCTTCTACATACTGGTTTCAGGTAAAGGAAAATACATTTTTTTTTTAAACTAAAATTCTTCCTCCTTTTCGTGACCAGGGGAATAAAAATGCGGTGGGGAATTGAGTTGGGGAAAGGGAGGGAGGAAGGGAGGGAGAGTCTGAAGGGTGGAGTGGTTCATAGACCGACCAGTTGACAGGAGAGGGTGGTGAGGGAATGTTGAAGAAAATGCAGAATGAGCTTGGTAACCTCGGATCCATGCCCTGTGTCCAGTTGACGATAATTGGAGAAGCCCAAGTCTGTTCACAGGGGGCCAAGTTCCTGTTTGTGGACTTCCCTGCTCTAACAGTATGTTGTCACTAAGTAACTGAGTTAATTCATTTCCCATGTCCAATAGACTTCCTGCATTTTCTGGATGCCAGCAGGCTCCCAACAGGGCTTCACTGTGGAACACTGGATCTGACCTCCTAAGCGGGAGAGCAATCCTGAACTCCAAATTTCACTGGGTTTTTTGTTTGTTTGTTTGTTTGTTTGTTGGCTTTTTGTTTGTTTGTTTGTTTGTCTTTTCACCTCCTGTTCCCTCCAGAGTATCCACTGGAATCTTGTACTATGAACCTGACATTACGAAATTACCGGCTAATTTTATCCTGGGAACTAAAAAACAAATCCGTCCCACCAGTTCACTATACGCTTTGGTCCACAATCATGAGGTTGGTTGACATCTCATTTTCTTCTCTTCTTGAACATGTTACCTTTCTTTCTACTGTGTGAATTCTCACCTCAATATACATCTTCCCGTCCCAGACTTTTTAAAGTTAATTTATAAGTGTATGGGGCTGTGTGTGTGTGTGTGTGTGTGTGTGTGTGTGTGTGTGTGTGTGTGTTTGCTGAGGGTACAGGTTTTCATTTGTTGTCTGTGTCTTTACTCTCCACTTCAGTCCCTGAGACAGCCTCCACTGGGCTTGAAGTTTTTGCTGGGTTCACTGGCCAGCAAGCCCTGGGGATCCTATAGTCTCTGCCTCCCCAGGGCTGGAATTACAGGTGCGGCCTCTGTGCCCTTCTTCTCTCCATGTGATGCTGGGGACCAAACGCAGATCCGTATCCATGCCAGACTAAGCACTTCACTGACTCAGCCATCTTCACAACACTCTGTCTTGGGTTTTTTTGTTGTTGTTGTTTTGTTTTGTTTGTTTGTTTGTTTTAAATTCAGAACCTTAAAGGGCCAAAGCCAAACACCTATCCATTTTTAATTTGAATTCTTTAATAACCCAAAGCTATTTGAGGACAAAGCTTGTGTTCCTTACCAAAGCTGGCTTCTTGTGGTTTACAGTTCTCTCGGTGACCTTGGTGTTTAACATCTCACTTCCCATAGGGCTCAAAGGTCTATTGACCATGTTGGTGCTTTATGTCATGTTTCCTCACTCATGAAGACAAGTTAGACTCCAGAAAGCCCTGGCGGACAAGCTTGAGTCCAAAGTCGTTTGGTCACCGAGCAGCTTAATATTTACTCCAAAGCTCTTGTCTCTGCCTAAGCTTCGCTACAAGGAGCGAAGATGGAATTGATGGGCAAGGCCTTGGCCCCATTGCCCCCACATTCAACGGCCACTTTGCATCCTTCAAGGAGTTCTCTGGAGAGAGTGTGTGTGTGTATGCAGTGTGCCCCGGCCAAAACGCCCTTTTCTTGATTACATATCTGACTAACAACTGTTGAACTGTCCAGGAGTGGGCAAGAGCCCCTGTGACTCTCTCCCTGTCTCCTACAAGTCTTGGCTCTTATCTGCTTGATGACCACACTGGCCGTTAACCTACCAAGTCTAGTTTCTGTTGTTGTGATAAAATACGATGGCCAAAAGGAACTTGGGAAAGAAAGGGATTTATCTGGATTACATTTCTAGGTTACAGTCCGTTGTTGAGGAAAGTCAAGGCAGGAACTTCAAATATCATATCACGGTCATGATTAGAGGGAGAACATATGTGTGGATGCTTGCTTGTTCGGCACCCAGCCCAGGAAGCAGGGCCACCCATCTTCCAACCTCAGTTAACAGTCAAGGCAGTCACCTACGGGTGTGTCCACAACTAACTCAGCTAGGCTGTCTTCCCCACCTCACGTTAAACTGACAAGTACTTCCCATTTCTCACCCCCAAGCTCGATGAATGGGACCCATGCTGTCTCTAAACTAATACAGCTCTGACTTAAGACCGTGTTGGCCTCCAGGCAGAGAGGGAGGTCTCGGGAGGCCATGATTACCCTAGAGTGTGAGGAAGGTGCCAGGAAAGCCCAAGCCCAAAGTTTGTTCATTCATTCATTCATTCATGCATGCATGCACACATGTACACATGCAGTAGATTCTATCTATGAAACAAAAACCCTTCCCTCTAGGCACAGAGACTCAGAAAGAAGCTGGGGTCGTCATTAAACAAATAAAGGTATAATGTATCAGTGGAAATGAACAGGGGAGGGGGCAGAAGAGATTAAAAGTGTGGAACAGGGAGAACTGAACAGTCAGTTTTAGAGTACGCAAGGGATATCTGGGCAGAGTCCTGAAGGAAATAAGGGCGGCCCAGAAGATGGATCCCTGGACACGTATGCTCAGCTTTTCTTCTTTCATACTCCCCTCCTACCCCACAGCAGGCCAGAAGATCCGAAGGCTTTGGAGAACTGTACAAATATCATGGAATCATCTTGCGACGTGACAGATGAGTGGATGGACAGAACTGAGAACTACATTCCCTTAATTGTGATTTACAGAGGAGACTCCGTACTGAGCCTCTGTGAAGGCTTTGTCACGGCTACAAACAGTGAGTGGTGTCTATGTCTCTCAGCAGCGGTTGGCTACAGAGGAGGGAGGTCTGCCAACATGTTTGGCTTGAGAGCCGGGCTGACTCCTGGTCCTGCCTTGTGTGGTCATTTGGATGCTCAGAGCCTCAGCTTTCTGATATGAAAAGTGGGTCCATAACCTGGACTTCTCAGATTACTGTGCAGGTTCCCAGCAGTAACTACAACTATTTCCCTCCTCTCTTTACAACCTGACAGGAAGTGGGGGAGAACCTGACAGGAAGTGGGGAGAACCTGACAGGAAATGGGGGGAATAAGACAGGAAGTGGGGAGGAACCTGACAGGAAATGGGGAGGAGCCTGACAGGAAATGGGGGGAATAAGACAGGAAGTGGGGTGGAACCTGACAGGAAGTGGGGAGGAGCCTGACAGGAAGTGGGGGGAATAAGACAGGAAATGGGGAGGAAACTGACAGGAAATGGGGAGGAGCCTGACAGGAAGTGGGAAGAGGATTTGTATGGTTCTTCCTAAGCTGTCACATCAGTTTAGGCCACTGTCTTCCTGACTACCACAACCTGCCTGAGACTATAACCCAATAGAGCTGCATGTGTGGACAGCTAGGGCCCTCAGCTCACAGGGTGAGTGGAGCCCAGGACTGGGGTGACCCCTTCGTTTCTTTCCCTGTGTCTGAAGCACTTGTGTTAGCGGCCACAGTGCCACTAACTGGTTTCCAAGGCAACGGTTTGGTTTTGGCATGCTGTCACAGACCATGTAGGTGTGTGCGCACAAACATACTTGGCAAAGTTATATAACAGTGGTTGAACCATGACCCATGATACAGATCCCACAAGGTCACTGCAGTATTATTCAGGCTTTGAATCAATGCTCATATCTGTGCATAGACTCACAGAAAACAAATTAAAGAATAACTTATAGGTCACGATAAGGAATAGATATTAAAGTAATAAGTATTTTTCATGATCCAAATGATAAATATGAGAAAGACACTAAAATCTAAGGTTACCAGGTGTGGTGGTGCATTCCTGTAATCCCAGCACCTGCGAGCCCAGGACAGGAGGGCCTTCTGCAGGTCAGCCTAGGCTACTCAGAATGTAAGAACCCAGCCACGGCTGCTGTGTCAAACAAACAAGCCAAACAACCCCCTAGGATTAGAAAAACAAATCGGACACCATGCTTTGTCATGGTTCTTCTGAACAGATCCAGCCACTAGAAAAGAAAAAGGAACATAAGACAGCAAGATGGCTCACTAGGTAAAGGCACTTGTCACCAAACCCAATGACCTGGTCAATCTCAGGAACCCATATAATAGAGAGAGAGCTGGTTCCCAAAAGTTGTCCTCTGACCTCCACACATGTGGTGTAATCCATGTGCCCACACATATATGCATGCACACACATAAATAAACTAAAACTTAAGAGCCAGGCGGTGGTGGCACACGCCTTTAATCCCAGCACTTGGGAAGCAGAGACAGATGGATCTCTGTGAGTTTGAGGCCAGCCTGGTCTACAAAGCAAGTCCCAGGACAGCTAGAGCTGTTACACAGAGAAATCCTGTCTCAAAAAGGGGGGAGGGGGGAGGAGAGAGAGAGAGAAATAGCTAAGGACATATGTAAAAATGTATCTCCAAGAACACTGAATAGCACATTGATTTTTTCCATAAATATTAAAGGTGATCTATTTGTTCAAAATAGTGAATCAGTTGGGGTCTAGAACACAAGGATTTAAATTCAACCTGGAAAGTTATGAGGTGAGTCTGGGGGGGGGGGGTCAGAGATGCTCGAGAAGAACATTTTAGACTTTGTGGGTCACACAAAGTCTCTGTACCTGCTTGTTCTTCATGTTTTCCATTGAGATCCCTAAAAGCAAGCAAAATCATCCGAAAGAAAAAAAAAAAACTGAAATTGTAAGTTGTGCCAAAGTCTAACCCATGAGACATGGCTTTCTAACCCTTGGGGTAGATAAGTGTGTGTCGAAAAGTTTAAGAGCTATAGTTAAATGAGCCAGACACAGCGGCTCATGCTTGTATTCCTAGTACTGAAGAACAAGAGGTAGAGAATTGTGAGTTCAAGGCCAACCTGGGCTGTGTAGGAAAAATCTGGGTTGTTGGGAGGGGGTTGTTTGTTTTTTTAAGTAGTTTAGTAAAATTATTAAAAAAAAATACATTGTGTGTTAGAAGGACTTAGTTTCAGTGTGTATGTTTGCAAACATGCATATGCATGTATAACCATTTATATACCAGTTAATACTTGTGACTCTGTATATATTTATATATATATATACATCATAGAAAAGTTGATTGTACTCAAAGAAAATTCCCACCTGTATTTTCTACAATTGTATATTCATGTTAAATTATAAAAATACTACATTTTAAATTTTGTATGTAGAATACAGCTTGAGAATTGGGAACTCTGTTGACGTCCCATCTCACATCTGCCTACAGTGTGCAATAGGGGTGCTATTGAATCATTTCACTTTCATTCAACATTTTTCATCAGTAAACCCAAACAGTGCCACACAGCTCGAACTGGAATCCAATCTAAACAGAATTAGCCTTTCTTTAGAAGAAATGGAATTGTGTCTGACAACAGGTGTCATCGTTACATATCTAACTGTATTCATTCCCCCATCCTATTTCCCACACAGCTATAATTGAGCCTCCAGAATTCGAGGTCATTGGCTTCACAGATAACATAAATGTGACAGTGAAATTTCCACCTGTCATTCCCAAGATATTCGGGGAGAGCATGTGGCAAGTGCTAGGTTATCGGTCGCTGGCCATCAAAGCACAGGCTGGGCAGAACACCCTGCTGGTAAGTAGCCCCTCATGTTCAGATCTAATCCGTGCGCAGCTGGCTGTGGACATTCTTCACTGTCTTTTCGAGAACTGTGTAGAGCCAAGGAAGTGCTGAATTGGAGGAGGTGGCTCAGTGGTAGAATTGCTTTCTACGGTGTTCAACACTCAGCTTTGCAGAGAGAATGAGACACACACACACACACACACACACACACACACACACACACACGGAGAGGCAGAAATGGGGAGAGATGTTGTATCATCTCCTGTCACATTTCAGCTGTGCTTTTTCATGTTCAAACCACGAATTGCAGCGTGTTAGGGTATTTCAGAAGTGTGGTGTGTCTACACCACTGTAGGAGGAAAACTATAGACAGTAGGCCTCTTTTTTATTAAAGAAAATTGGCCTTTACACCATGAAATAAAAGAGGCCGTTGGTGTAACCCAGGCAACAGGTGGGAGTAGCCTGGGCCCGTTGGCGATGTGGCCTTCCAGTGGCATGTGTTTTGTAAGTGGACTGACTCTACAGTGTGGTAGAGAAAAAGGAAGGGTTAAGGCCACAGCCTTACAGTTGCCATTACCTGAGATAATCAGGACTCTGAGTGAAGCTCCATTAGGAAGAGTTCACTGCCAGTATGGTTTCAGAGGCAGACAGTGACAGACACCGCAGGTCCTGTGTCCGGAGTTAAAGGGCGAGGACTTCGGTCAGAGTGCCTCTGGTGAGCTGTGGGGCAGAGCCTGGTTGGCTCCAGGAAAACATTGGAGGGCTCCGCTCTCCTCCAGAGCCTTCCTTTGAAAGGGAAGGAACAACCAGTAGCCCAGCTATAGAAGGTGAGCTTGAGGGAGGGGCTTTGTAAGACAGAAGGGGTGTGTCCACGGGCAGCCAGAGTGCCCTGGAGAAGGCGAGCGAGCGTTAGTGGACTCTCAGCGGGATGTCCTAGAGAGCTAGTGCATTTCAGGAGCATGGAAAAAGGTGCCCTGGGCTAGGAGCAGAGGCCCAGTAGAGTATGAGGCAAGAGATGCAGAGCGTGGAGTGGCTTGGTCTGTTTTCTGCTTCTGTGAGGGGACACCTGTGACAACATACTTTTATCAAGGTGTTTATTTTGATAAAATAAGTCAAGGTTGAGAGGTGATGTTTGGTGATGGCCCTCCCACGGAGTGAGTCCTGAGGCAACCCAGAATATCACAGGAAGAGAACAAGGAGCATGCATGTGTGTGATCAGGCGTGTTTCTCTTTCTGAGCCACCACGGCTTAGTCATGGGACTCCACTCCAATGACCCAAACTAACCCTAATCACAACCCAAAGGCCATGCCTCTAAACTCCATTGTCACCTAGGGTGCAGCCCACAGTGAGGGTTCCATTTCAACATAGGAACCTCTGAAGGAGGACACACTCAGTCACATCCAAACAGAAACAGAGATCAGCTGCTTGGCGGGAAGCTTTGCCCACCGAAACCGTCAGCTGCTGTCACAGGCATGCTCAGGAGCCTGGAAGCCTGTTTTGTACCCGTCCTCTGGGAGATGCCAGCTTTGCTACTGCATCGTGGCCCCCACCCCCCACCCCCATGCAGCTTTCCTTCTTCATTACCTCCCTCCATGCACAAGCTTGTGGTTTGTTTAACTGTCTGCCTTTGTTTAGTAAAGAGAGGCTGGTATAGAGATGCCGTCTTACTGAAGGCTTGTATAGCTAGAAAAGTCCCAACTTAAGCAATTGCTGCTGAGAATGCACTTGAGGAATTGTAAACTAAGAGTTTTCAGTTATTATGCAGGGTACAGGAGGGGCTAGGGAAAAGTGATAATATTGTAGAAATGACATCATGGGAACCTTCATTCATTCCCTGTAGGGCTTTTTCTTCTCATCGGTAAAATGGAGCTGACAGGCCAGATGGCATGACTTTAGAATGTGTGCATGTGTGGTTTGGTGATAGACTGCTTGCTTCTAGAGACGTAGAAGCCTTTCCACTAGTTAATCCTACAATGTTTTTAAACTAAGGTCTTAACTGATCTCTCTCTCTCTTTCTCTCTCTCTCTCTCTCTCTCTCTCTCTCTCTCTGTGTGTGTGTGTGTCTGTTTGTCTGTCTGTCTGTGTGTGTCTGTGTGTGTGTGTGTGTGTCTCTGTGTGTGTGTGTGTCTGTGTCTCTTTTTACAGCACAAGCTCAAAATGAAGAACATCGCTGGGAACATCACCCATGTCTTTCAAAACTTACTTCCAAACACAAACTACTGTGTATCTGTTTATTTTGAAGCTGAAAATATGAAAGACTCTATAAAGTCTCCCTTTAAATGCACCCTCCTTCAGCCTGACCAGGAATCAGGTATGGTTAGGTTTTAAATTTTGCACTTTTATTTTGATGGAAAACCTGTTGAATGAAAGAAAAAAAAAATGTTGAGTTCTAGTGTGCTAATTGTACCTCTCCCAATAAATGTGCATCACGCCACTGTTCCTATTGGTCCGTCTCCAATGTCTGTCCTACCCTGCTGTAAGAATGACTGGCCTGAGAAGTTTAGATCCCTGTGGCGCTTTCATTTAAGGAAATCTGGGTTCAACTGAGCACTGTGTGCCCTTTGGCCACTGTGTCAGAAGTCTCAAAGTTGCTTCAAGCTCTGGCATTAGAAGCCTGAGAAGGTGTGGGAGGGAAACTAGGGTGTGAGTCCACGAATATTGGTTCTGCACATAGAGGGAAGGGGCCAGAGGCAGGAGGTAGCCCTTGGTGACGTGAAGACCCCAACCTTTCTCTATGTGAGAAATCCAGTGGCCAGAACGAGGGAGCGCCGGTCGGGAGCACCGGCAGGGAGTATGGGGTGTAGTGGTGTGTGCCTGTACTCCAGCCTTCTGGAGATAAGGCAAATAAAAAAATCGAGGCCACCCTGTGCTGTGTTGTGAGTTTCAAGCCAGCCTGAGTTATATAGCAAGATCCTGCCCCAAAAAACAAAAGACATGGAAAGGAGAGAGGGTTGTTTAGGCACCCCCCCCCCGTTTTCTTGGATAGTTACTAGTTCTTCAGGGGTCTCATTGAAAGGAAAAGGTTCTGAAAATCCCCCTCAGAGGCAGCTCTGTAGATTCTTCAGCCCCAAAGACAGCCTCCTCCTAAATGCACCAGCGTGCATCAGAGTGAGACTAAGATTGTGTTTGCAAGGGGTTGGAGAGATGGCTTGAGTGGAAAGTATCCCTACAGATGGGTTCATAATTTGAGCTCTTGGCCTCCAGCTGATGGTTCCATTTTGGGTCTTTCTGGAAACTTTGGGAGGTTGGACCTAACTGACCAAAATAGGTAACTGGGGGGTGGGGCTAGCCTTGGAAGGCCCTGCTGTCCTCTGCTTCCTCGTGCACTACCTGAACAGCTTCCTGTACATACTCCTACCAGCCAGCTTCCTTCCCTGCCCTCTCCTTCCCTGCCAGGATGAACAGACTCTCTGACGTGGTGAGCCAAGGCAAATCCTACCGGCTTACATGTCTTCTGTCAGGCAGGCTGCTACAAGGTTGCCAATGTAACTATTACAAATGCTGAGCTATTTGCGGGATTCAGCACGCTACACCACATAGGGCCTGGCACTAGAGCAGGCTGATAGCAGGGTGACTTGCGGTCTAGTCTTTCTGCAAGCAGAAAGATACACAGGTTGATACTAAAGGTAAAAGGCCAAGCTCTACAGTAGCTGTGTTTTAGGCTCTGTAGCATACAGGTCCTGCACAACTATCAGCATTGGCCCCAAACAAGTCAGCATATCCGTATCTGACACCAGACCTCTTAACTCTGAGACAGCCAATACTTGAGTGCATTTCTGACCCATTACCCAGACAGAGCAGAGCAGGCAGGATAAGGGGCATAGAGCCTCCCCACTTCAGATGCGAGCCACAAGGTCAAGGTTTTCAGACCACATGGACACCTGCCCAATATGGCTGCAAAACCAAGAATTCCCCCCCAAACTCCTCTCAGATCCAATTATTTGATGAAGTGCCTCCCAGAACTCAGGGGACTTAGGTGACAGTTTGGGATAAAGGTTCTACATGAGTCTAGTGAGGAGGGTACACAGGACAGGGACGGAAGGGTCAGGACATGGGCTAACAGTGAGTCCCATGTTCCTGGTCTTTAGCCAGGTCTAAGTCATTGGCCACAGCATGAGACTTAATCTGAAGTATAAACCAGCGCTCATCCTGAAGCTCTCTCTATGCTCTCTAGGGGTCGCTACATTGGATAAACTTAAGTGGTTGCAGCCTTAGCTTTTTTTTTTTTCTTCCCATGCTGTTAAAATGAAATAACCCAAGTGGATAACTTTAAATAAAGAAGAGACATTTAGGGGGCTGGGGAGATGGCTCAGCAATTAAGAGCACTGGCTGCTTTTCCAGAGGTCCTGAGTTCAATTCCCAGCAACTACATGGTGGTTCACAACCATCTATAGTGGTATATGATGCCCTTTATGTAGGTTTAAAAATCTATATGCAGATAGAGCACTTGTATACATAAATAAATAAATCTTAAAGAGAGAGAGGGAGGCATTTATTTCTACTAGTATTGTGGCTTTGGAAATCCAAAGTAGGAAGGCTTCCTTTCTGCATCATAACATTGTGGTAGATGTCACATGCCGTGGAGGGAAGTAGCAAGGTGTTTTATGCTGAAGTCATATCCACAGTATCTTACCCATTCCCATAATGACAGCATTAGTCCATGCATAAGGGCAGAGCCTTGTGACTCAAGTGTTTCCTAACAAACACACACACACACACCTCCTCAGTGGCCACTAACCACGTAGGAGACCATAGCAACCATAGCAGACCCCTAATGGTGCTTGTTAAAAGCACCTTTCACTAGGGGAATTTCATGAGGTTTGAAGCCCCGTGCCTAGAACGAGGAATGGGAGGGAGGAAGGGAGGAAGAGATGGAGGGAGGAAGACAGAGAGGTGTATTTGAACATATGCACACACACACACATATGTACATAAAACATCATGGTCTTATTATATACAGATAAAACTCAGACTAGCAATAATGATCCAAGTTTGGATCAATGAGACGGCTCAGTGGGTAAAGGTGTTTGCTGTCACATCTGGTCCCCAGAGCCCATATATTGGGAGGAAAGAAGGAACTCCAGAAGGTTGTCTTGTAACCCCCATGTGCACACTGTGGTATGTGAGTGTGTGCACATGCACACACGCATGCGCGCACACACACACACACACACACACGCAAAAAAAAAATAAACTTAAGTTAGTAAAACAACAAAGGAAGGCTTACTGTGATCCAGAGGTACTAACCCAGCAGGTGGCCATTCTGTGAAAGTTGTCACAGCCTCAGTAGAATTAGTCCTGGGTGCCATGATCTCCAGATGGGAACAACTTAGCCTTGGCTGAAGTTATATACTTCGGAAGCAGCTCATACTTAGCTGTTAGCGTGCACCAAAGTATCCACGGCTCACTGATGAGTGGGGTTACCTGGGACAACTGCCACAGATGGCCAAAAGGATTACTTCCTGGATAAGGGCCCCCGGGAGGTGTGGTGGACGGAGTAACAGCCTCATACAGATATTTTGATCCTAGATGTCTTAACATGCTACCTCCTGGGGACAAAGAGACTTGGTGGTTCCTAATAAATTCAGGATGGAGGCAGATTATCCCAGACCACCCATGAAGGCCTCCTGGGAGCCTGGAGGACCTTACAAAGCAGAGGAAGGTAACAATGGAAGCAGAGGTCAGACAGAGAGAGACTGGGAGCGGCTTGTCAGCTAGCTCTGAGGATGAAGGAGGGGCTCTCCAAAGCAGAAACGGGTCTCTGATGACAGCCTGCCAACACCCTGACCCTTATTCCAGTGAAACTCATTTTGGACGTCTATGGGCAGAATTGTGAGCCAATCTGAGTTGAGCTAGGTTTTTGGGACTTGCTTCTTTAGGCAAGGCCATAGGAACAAAGCAACTGAGTCTCGGAGGCATGGCAGGGAAGCGTAGTGAGAGAAGGAAGGACAGTACAAGTCAGAGTGGGCGGGAGACTCCAGATGACCGGGCCATTTAAAAGCCATTAGGAGGGAGGGGGATCCCAGGGGGACTTGAGCATATCTGACTTAGGATTTAAGGGAAGCAGCGTGGGGGTTCCAGCCGGCTCCCTGCCAGGCACTGCAAAATCATCCAGGCCAGAACTCCAAGAAGCATTAGACAGTCTTAGAAAGTTCTCTTGTCCACTGCAGGGAACCGCAGTCACTGAACACCGTCCTTGCTGCCTAGTCCTCTTAGGTTTCAAAAGAACGACAAGAGGAATCCAAGGCCAAGATCTGGAGATACAAAATGAAGTGACCTAACCCTTTTTTAGGAAGATCTACAATGATAACACAATGGGGAATGGGCCACAAGCCGAGAGAGGTTGTGTTTTATGTTACCTCTAAGCTAAAACCAGACACAAACATTCATGTCATGAAGTCCTCCGAGACTGATGACAAATCGCCCCGTGGGAAGGGCTGCTGTAGCTTGCAGCTGAGTGGGATTTGCATAGTGTGTTCCTAAGCACACTCTGTGTCAGCCATGTGTCCATTGAATTGGCTGCTCAGGCTCTGGAAAGTTGGGTAGGTCTTCTTCTATGTCATGCTTATGCCTCACCCCTGGGAGTTATTTGGGTTTCTCTCTCCCTTCTTAGGAAGTTTGTGTCTGGAAGCTTTACCTCTGAGCCTAGGCCTGAGGTCCTGCCACCACCCATGGGCTCGGGTTCAAAGGTCAGGGCTAACGGTCTTCACTGAGCTAGCCTTTCATTAAGCCCCCCTTTAAAAGACTTGAAGTGTGAGATGGATTTTCATGCCTCTTCTTTCCTATGTCTGTTTTCCCCTGAAGCTCTGGATACAGAGTTCATACTAACACAGATCCTTTCTGGAAATCTAAGGGAAGTCTGCACATGGCCATTCACTGCACCTTGGCCCAGAAGTACTTAGGGAAACAGCTGCTGTCAATGCAGAAATCGTTCAAAGGGAACGATTTCTAGGGAAAGTTCTTCCCAGGCTGAGTGAGTGCCGGGTTTGGGTTCCTGCTGTGACCAAGGCCAAGCCTCAGAATGGTCTAGCTGGTTTTCCAGCCCCATCCTCCAACTCTTTCACCTGGGCCACAAGATTTGCCGTGTAGCGTGAGAGACAAAGTAGGTTCCAGTTTTGATGGTTGAAATTTCAAGAGCCACAGACAGCTAGCAGCTACTCTATTGCAATCACAGAACACAAAACTATCTTTTATTTTTATTTTGAAAACCTAAATATATGTTGTTTAAAATAAATGCACTTATATTAGCTTCCATTCCTTGGTATTTAGCAATATAATTTTTTGTTCTCAAACTTCTGCTTCCTCTGCATTAACTTCTGACATCAAACCGATGCTGAGTGTTCCTTCCCTGTGGCCATGCACTGAATTTCTTTGGAATAAAGTCATTTATCTTTTCATCAACAGGATCATCAGAGTCTGGCAAAGTAGGAATAATTACTGTGTGTGTGATAATAGCGGTCTTCTTCTTCTTCTTCATAATGCTGAAACGGATTGGTTATATATGCTTAAAAAGCAATTTCCCCAGAGCCTTGGTATGTAGTTCGCCTGTCTTTATTTCTTAAATTATGTGTTTGTTTTATTGGCATTTGCTTACATGTGTGTGCGAGTGTCTCAGATCTCCTGGAACTGGAGTTCCAGACAGGTGTGAGCTGCCATGTGAGTACTGAAAATTGAACCCAGGTTCTCTGGAAGAGCAGCCGGTGCTCTTAACCTCTGAGCCAGCTCCAGCCCTTATCTTTATTTCTTATTTTAACTTAGTAATTTTTATTATTAATGTAATGTTTGCAGTAAAGAATCTCATTTTCCAAAAAAAAAAAAATCAGTTATCTTAGTCATTCTAGATTTTTTTTTTTTTATTATCCTTGAAAACCTCACATTTATCCGGGCATTTTCTGTTTTCTGTATTTTCTGTATGCCTCTTCTCCCTTCCCCTCCCCCTATGGTAGGGATTTGTTCACATGTGTGTGATGATGGAAATCACCGTGTTGACTTTAGATGTCTTTCTCGGTGGCTTATTTTCATTTAATTACTTCAATTGGGTCTTTGAGAATTTCATACAGTATCTTTTTTTCCTGTCCTTTCCTGGATCCCAACTCCTCCCAGAGCCACCCAACCCCATGTTCCTCCTCTCTCTCTCAAAAACAAAAACAAAACAGAACTTAACTACATTTACACTTATGTACTTGTGCTTGGATAGAGGGCACCTTCCATGCCATTCCTATGAAGTCAGAGGAGAATTTAAGGAGGGGTCATCTCTCCCTTTCCACTGTGTGGATCTGGGAAGGAGTCTTGAAGTTAGGTACGTCTGACTGCCAACCCTCTCTGCTTTATTTTTTGTTTTGTTTTGTTTTTACATCCACGAAACATGTTTTCTTTTTCTTAAGCTCATTTGATTTTTTTTTCTGTTCAATTGCATATACCTTTTCCAAAACAAACTGATGATTGCTTTTTTAACTTAAAAAACATTTTTTTGAGATTATAACTACATCATTTGCCCCTTTCCTTTCCTGCCTCCAAACCTTCCCATATAACCCCCCCTTGGTCCCTCTCACATTCATATACACATACATTGTTATTACAGACACACACACATATGTGTGTATATATTCCTAAACGCATATGTGCAACCCGCTCAGCCGGTATGACGTTGTGCTTACATGTTTTCAAAGCTGACCATTTGGTCCTGGATAATGAGCTGCTGTGCTCTTTCCTGGGGAAGATGATTGCTCCAGCTCCAGCTCCAGCTCCCAGCACCCCCTAGTTGCCTGTAGCTTTGCATAAGTAAGGTTGTAGGCTGGCTTTCCTGGACTCCAGTCCACTTGGAATGCCTATTGGTGTCGTCCTTGTTGGGCTCGCGTTTGGGTAGTCATGCTGGTGAGACAGTGTGGGTACAGCTTCTGACACTCCTAGGAGACACAGTCTCACAGCGAACCCATGGCCCTCTGGCTCACCTACTGCTTCTGCCCCCTCCCCTGCAATGTTCCCTGAGCCTTAAGGGTGGGCACTGTTTCCCCTTTATGTTTTTAGGTCCCCTCACTAACCCTGGAGGCCACCGGTTCAGCTAGGCTGGCCCCTCCTATGCTAGGGTTACAGATTAAGGCTGTTGATCCAGTCCCCACCCCCATGAGACACTGGGGACCAGAACTTTACACTTACGCTGCAGACACTTTACTGAATGAGCCTCTCGGCCGCGCCCCCCACACCTATTATGTTTAATGATCATGGAATTACATTATTATAAGGCACTATTTTTTCCCACCTGTAAGGCATTTGGATTTATTTTCTTCTCTCTCTTTCCAGTTAGGAATAGTACAATGGAAATTTTCGTGTAGGTCATCATTTCGTTTCACATTGCGTCGATGGACCATACACGCACAGTGGATTTATCTTGTAGAATGTCATAACGAGCTTACTTGTCATGTTGTGCTCCATGTCCTGTACTTGACGTCTGCTCACAGCTGTTCTCAAGCGCTACTCTCAAGACTCACGAGGACAACCATTTGCTTAGCATTCGTCTGTTTCTGCTGGCAGCTCAGGGCCCTTGCAGAGTATTGATCTGCATCTTTCTAAACTTCGGGCAGGCCACTGATCATCTTTCCCGTCACATTGCCCCCCCCCACCCTGCTTTTGTAACATTTCAAATAGAAGCCCCTGGTTTCCCCCTGGTGTGGTGCATTACTCTGCTCCTCCAGGGGCCCCTCTCCCTCCACATCTCAGAGCTTTCCTCACTGTGTTCTACTGTCTGCCTTCCACTTCTCTGTTAAAAACTATCGCTCTCCATTTAATCGCATCCTCCAGAAAAGGGATCATATGACACTCTAGGCCTAGTGTGTTTGAAGATGCATTTTTAGCAGAAAGTTCGATTTGGGGTAATCAAATGCAGGGCCTTGAACATGCTGGTAAAATTTTTGAGTAGTTATTGTTTTGAACTGAACAAGTCCTTGTTGACTCCACTGAACAGACGATATTTCCAAGCGTTGGTATGTGGGTCAAGGCCAACAAAAGCCCTACCTGTGGGCTTAGTTTGAAGAAGTGGGGTGGGCTGCAATTATTTATAAGTGAGAATATTAATCTCAAAAGTTTATATCACTCTGGAGCTAAATTTTTATGTCAGTAATCTGCCCTACGTAGTGAGTACAGAGCCAGCCAGCAGGTCTACAGGGGGAGAACAATCAAGGGTTCAGCAGTCATCGCATACTTACATTGGCTGTGTTTAATTACAAAATAAGGGTAGAGCTGCTTCCAGCCTTAGAAAAATGCAGTTTAAAAAAAAAAACCCACTGTGTAAAGCCCACTGAATTTTGCCCAAACCAAACCACCATGTAACTTATGCCCAGACTGAGATAAAACAAAACCACAGCCAGCTCTTCCAAGATTCTGTCTTGCCACCAGTGCATACCAAGATTAATCCAGATTATTAGGGACACGTATCATTTTCCTGGTTTTTATATTTATAGAAACAGACCATTTTCAGTAGCCCCAAAATTCATACAATTACAGAAGCTACAAGTTATTTTTTTTAATTTAAGAAATAAACCTAATAAAAACACTCATGCCCCATCACACAGGAAAGGATAACAAAAGGTAACAAAAGACCATCAGAGGAAAAGCCCAAAACTACATGAATTATATGGATCCCTCTCTACCTCATACCACACAGTTAAATACATAGGAAGTCTAGAGGCTGGGTGTTCAGTGACATGGGGTATGCTTAGCATGCAAGGGCCTGAGATTATTCCCCAGCATGCACACGGGGGGGGGGGGGGGGGAGAGAGAGAGAAAGAGAGAGAGAGAGAGAGAGGCCTGATTCGTAGCACAATTGTGAGGGCAAAGGACTTAGAAAACGGTTTGCACCCACAGGCTTCATCCAGCCACAGACAGGGCATCTAAATGGACTTTCTTGGCAGTGTCCCTAAGCAATGCACTGTCCCACGCACGTGGCATTTGTATTGCGCTGAGCTCTGTAAGCAATCTAGAGGTGGTTGATCATGTTCAGTGACGGCACAGGTGACACACAAATGCTATGACATTTGGTATGGAAGACCCTTAGCATCCTTGGGTTTGGAAATGCAAGGGCGGTGGCCGTCAAGTGTCACACAACCATCGGCGTGCTACTAGTGTGCGCACGTCCACGACACTTCATAGTGAATACTAAGCTTTATGCTAAAGAGCTGACATGAGTGAAAGACCTTCTCTCCCTCCCTCCCTCCCTCCTTCCTTCCCTCCCTCTCTAGAACTTCCATAACTTTCTGTCGTGGATATTCCCTGAAGCGCCACCATCAGAAGGTGTGGACAGGTTGGAGATCATTACCGTGAACAAAAAGAAGAAAGTGTGGAATTACAATTATGGAGACGAGAGTGACGATGATGGTGGTGATGATGATGATGATGAAGCCCCCAAAGCAAGCGCCACCGGATACACCATGCATGGACTGATGGGCAGGCTCCTGAGCCAGGCCTCTGACCCCTCAGCCAACCCCCAGGAGTCCCAGCTGGAAGAAGAGGACTCTGCCGAGGAGGAATCCGATACCACAGGGGCTTGGGCTGGGCCCGAAGCAGAATGTGTCACAGAGGCTGCTGTGGTGCGGCTGGGCCTCGGACTTTCTGAAGACCCCAGTGGCCCCTCTGCGAGGAGAGAGAGTGTGATCCAGGACCCCTTCCCCGGGGATGACAGCAGCTCTGTGAATGGGGCCGGGGACAAAGCTATCTTCAATGTGAACTTAAATTCTGTGTTTCTGAGGATTCTCCACGATGACCCTGAAGATGGCTCGGAGGGGTCATCTCTTGCAGAAGATCCTCTCCACCTAGACGAGGCTCCCCAGAGGACAGAGTCAGGCCTTCTGATGGCCAGTGGGGACAGGACACAATCACCCCATCCCAGCATCTCTTCCCAGCATCTGTGGACTGAAGATGGGTCGTCTGAAAAAACTGACACCTCAGACTCAGAGGCTGACACAGGGGATGGTTATATTATGAGATGACTCCGGAAGCAGTTCACCAGCTCAAGCTGAGCACCTACAGGGGTCTCTTCACAGCCTGCAGGTGTCTGTGAGGGAGGGGCTAGGGAACTCTGGAGCCCTGCTGGATTTTGCTGATGGCCTTCTCTGTGCACATTCCCGGTTTGGGGATTCGTATTGTTTACAAGGGTCATGAGCGTGTCCTGCCCACCCCCTTCCCACTCATGCACCACGGGCAGGACTGTGTTATGTTTCCCAGGGAACACGGTGACTTTCAGAGGCAGCCAAGGCCTCCCATCTCTGTGTCATTTCTAGGAAATGATTAAATTGGGGCTGAAGAGAGGAGAAAGCCCTGGCCAAGCGGTGGGCGGGATGAGCCTGGAGACAGGTAAAGGGAGAGAAGAAGGGCCCGCCTCCCCTTACAGGGAGCCGCCAGGTGTGCAGGCCTGCCAGGAGCCGCCAGCTGGGCCCTTCTCAGCTGCCACTGAGGCTCCCTCCACTCCGAGGTGTTAATTCACCCACAAACCCTTCCACAGCAAAGTGGGGGTGGGGATAATTCTAGGACCCAACAGGCAACTCAGAGAGAACAGAAACTGGAGCAGAGGGTGAGGAGCAAGATCCCAGTGCCTGCCTGCCTGCCTGCCTGCCGAATTTTAAAGGTTTTGTTCTTGTTTTCGAGAGCAAACGCGAGCATTTCGAGGGGACATGAGCAGGGGACACATGTCTTGTCTTAGTCCCGCTTCACGATTTTTAAAGTACTCCATGTATAAATATTTTAAAGTACTCCACGTGGTCACTGTGAGGCTCAGGTATCATGGGGGGAGACGGGAAAACAAACACCTGATTGCCAACGGGTGACTTTGGGGTTCTTGTGTGGCTTTTAGTTTATTTTACACGGACAAGTTCTCTCACATAGGATGATGACATTTTGGTCTTCCAGCCTCTACCTCTCCAGCAATTGTGATGACCGGAGATTAAATCCAGGCCAGGCCTTCCTCCATGCCAGGCCAGCACTCTACCAGCCCCACCCCACCCCCACCCCCGATTTATTTTTACTTCCTCTCTCTGGGCTTCAGCTGCTTCATCATGAAATAAAGGAACTGACTGGGCCATCCTAGAGGCCTGGGACCAATGCTAGAAAGAGGGAATGACCACCCAGGTGGAGGCACTGTGCCCCAGAGGTACCCAGGGTGGATGAGGAGCATAGGACCCTCCCATCTTGCTCTCTGCCCCAAAAGTCAGCTTCTCACACCTTTCTTCTATTCAGGGAAAACCTACATGGGTCCCAGTTCAAAGGCTTCCGATGGGTTACTCATGTAACTCCTCTAAAGCAATTCAAAAGAAGCCCCCCGTGGAATGGACCTAATAAAATCCCACAGGGGAGAAACGCTACACACAAACCGTCTCTCTGGCCTCTGAATACGGCTATCCTCCACCCAGACTCACCCGAGGGTGCTCACACTTTCTTTTAAGCTTTGCATAATTGCTGGAAAAAGTTTTTAGTGCTTGCACTTATTATACTTATTATTTTTTTAATTTTGTATGTTTGAAGATTGTCAGAGGTTAATACAAGAATACTTTTTCATACAAGCCTGTAGTGTTTTGAGTCATTTCTCAATAGAATTGTTTCTCACTAAAATGCATTTCTTTAGCATATTTGTGGTTCTGCTGGCATTTCAAGATTATACCATCTTTCTCTAAATCTGCAGTGGCCTGCTGGGATGCCTACACACACACACACACACACACACACACACACACACACACACACACACACACTTGGCATGTTCTAATGTGGACATTTCTCAATGCATAGTCTGCCCGCCTGCTGCGGGTTTTCCCACCTCACCACCTGATCCATTTAAGAGGAAATTAAAGAGTTCTCAGCAGTCTTGAGTAAGAAACAAGTTCTAAGAAGTGAGCCAACCGGCCCTGTGCCATCTCCTTGCAGTGGGGAGGGACTAAAACATTCCCAAGCTATGCTGAGGTGTGGGAGCTCTGACTCACCTTTTGTTTGGGTGAAGTGATGCTTCGGTGGGGGAAAAACAGAGAACACTAAGCAATACTAAGAAAAGGAACTGCCCAGCACTAGGGAAACTGAGTCAGGAGGATCGCTTCGAATCCCTAGCCAGTCCGGGCTACATAGAGAAACATTGTCTCAACATCCATCCCCACCTAGGAAAAGCGAAACTCAAGGGGCCAGAGAAACAGGGTGAAGGCGGCGGTGGGAGCTGGGGGGACTGCACTGTAACCTAGGACTGGCGTTTTAGCGCCTTTAGCTTGGGGCCACCTTCGCAGCCCTGGTCCCTGGCGGGCGGAGGGAGCCGGAGGGGAGTGGCCTGGCCGCCCGGCGGAGGTTCCAGGAAGAGCGCCAACCGCTGCGGGGCTGCGGGGCTGCGGGGCTGCGGCGCGGGGCCATGGCCGCGGCGCGGAGCGTGGCGGGCTGGCTGGCCGGCTTCCTGCTGCTGCCAGGTGAGCTCGGCGGGCAGGGGCCTGGGGGAGCGGGGGCCGGGGAGCGGGGAGCGGGCTCCCAGACCTGGGAAGTCAGAGGCGGGGCGTCCCCAAGCCTCGGCCCCGCGGGAGATCCGGAAGGGGCCGTGTGCGACGCCGAGCTGCCGGCAGGGAACCCCTCGCCATCACGGGCGCCACACACGCGGCGTTGGGCTGTCTGGATCCTGGGTGAACCACCACCAGCCTGCAGCGGGGTTACAGGCTGTCTAGATCGTAAACTGAAACGGGGTGCGGTGACAGCTGCTGACAGACCCCCGGGAGTACTCACAGAAGCCAGATGTTGTGAAAGACCCAGGCACTCCCTGCAACCCCTCTGGAACACACCCCGAGTCCTCCCCAGCCTCCGCTACCTTCCTCTGCCCCCTCTGCAGGGCCAGCTACCCTTCCTTTTCACACGTCCACACCCTGAAATCTGAGTTCTGCCCATCAGCTCCCCGAATCGCTTCTGGAGACAGCAGCCTGTGCCTCTGGGCGCAGCGCTCTCGGGATTGCCCCATCTCTCTCAGACTAGTTCTGCTTCAGATCCTTTCTTATCAGGGGACTTTGAGAGAGTCCCAGGCAGCCTGGTGTTGAATAACTACTGCCACACATCTCTCTGTTGGCTCCAGGATAAGCGGTTTAGAATTTTCTGCGTGAAAACTTAAAATAATTTCCGTCCTTAGCCTAAAACTGCCCCCTTTGCGACCTCGGGCGCACTCAGGCAGATGTCTCCCTAATTACCTTTCCTAAGTCTCCATGGGGTCTGTCCAGTCTGCTGCAGCCCATTCACACTCCCAGGTTCCCTGCCCCCACCCCCCAGCTCCAACCAAGGCTCCAGGGGCTTCAGCCAGAAATGGCCCTTAAGCGACCCATCCCTATCAGGTGTATGCGGATCTGAAATCCACCTGACCCTTTATGCATTCCTACCACCCAAGTTCCGGGTACCATCATCGGTCCCCAACTGTTGTTCACCCCCAAAAGTCTTCTCATTGTTGCTTCAAACAAAACCTAGCCTCCTCAACATAGCTAAGACCCACCCACCCCCTACACACAACCTGTGACCGTGTGGATCTGGGAGACACACATTGGCCATAGTCATTTTCTTGGTCTCCTTTTTGAGGAAAACAAAGCCATCTTCTCTCCTGCCTCCTATTTTTGTTTTTGTTTTTTTTCCCCCAGCTTTAGGGATGATTCCACCTCCTAAGAATGTTAAGATGAATTCAGTTAATTTCAAGAACATTCTCCAATGGGAGTCACCTGCGTTCCCCAAAGGGAACCTGACTTTCACAGCTCAGTACGAAAGGTAGGTCTGTCTGATGGTTGTTTACAGGGAGGGTAGCAGGTGGTGACCCCAGGCTGGACCTCAGGAGGAAGTCAGTCTAACTGCTTCTACCTGTGTGGCTGTAGCAGTCTGGGCTATCCTGTTAGCCATTTTCTTTCTCCAAAGGGAAATATTGTAGCCAGCACTCGCTACACCTCCCCCAGGTCCCACCCTCTGACTCCAGCTCTTGCTCTGCTTGGTGTATAACCCAGGGTAGTGTAGAAGTCACCGTGTAGCCCAGGCTGCCCTCAAATTGATGCTTCTGAAGAGGCAAACGGATGCTGCCGATGCCCTCTCCAGTTGTACAGCAGCATCGTAAGCAGTCAGCAGTGTACAAGGGAATGCTATCTGCAAACCCCAGGTGTGCAGAACAGTCAGGAAGACGCTTGCTTCATACCACCCACTCTCCACTGCAAGCCTCCTAGAACATTCCAGCATCGGCCTCTGCCACTGCAGGGTCCTCTCCTTGTCCTGCCTGTCTACAAGTCCCTGTACCCGGTGAAGGTGGTACAGGCCAGCCTTGTCCACAGTCTGTCCTCGCTGGCTATAGGCTGGATGATGGATGCCACACCAGTAGCAGCGGGAGGCCCGAGGTCTATCAGCCAGCACATGGGACCGAAATGTGGGAAGACAGACAGGCCCTTTGACCGCACAGAGCATTCCCTTCCAGGCCTCCGTAGCCCTGTCATCTTTTCCATGCAGCTGTCATTTTACACACACACACACACACACACACACACACACACACACACACACAGCGGAGGGTCACAAAGTTCAAGAAGGAAGAGAAAGGATAAAGTGGCCCTTTCCTACACGCTGGATTTTTTTATGATTTTCTTGGTTTGAAATAATTTCACACAAACTTTAACGTTGTAAGTATAGTGATAAAAACTAGAGTACCTATATTGAGATTCACCAATTCTCAGTATTTACTCTATTTTTTCCTCCCTGGACTCTCTGACTTACTGAATTAATTTCTTCTCTCGTTGCTATGACAACATCTGACAAAGCTGCATGAGGAAGAGAAGGTTTTGGGGGTCCTTGGTTCCGGGGTACGGCCCATCGCTGCGGGGAGCACACCAGGCAGCCTGTCACACAGAGTCAAAGAGAACGCTGCTTCTGGGTTCCCTCCTTCCTCTTTAGTCAGTCTGAGGCCCCAGCTCATAAGAAAGCGCTGTTCACATCCAGCCATCCAGGGTGTCAACCCTTCCTGGAAACACTCTTGTAGACCTTACTCCGAGGGTGTTTGCAGGCTCCTTTTAAATTCCATCAGGTCAACAATGAAAGTTCAACAAGCTGCACACACAGGTTTGAGTGTGTGTTTCATAAAAGCAAGAGTACCCTTTTACACCTGGGGTAGCTGCTACCCATAGTCCCGAGTCCGGTGGCTGGCGGTGAAAGGTCACTCTGCATCATCCCCAGGGAGGTGGGCTTTGACATTGCATCTACATATCTTCACCACTTGGTTTGGAAAGAAAGTTAACCTCCTCCTTATGATAGTTGGAGTTGTTGCTGTAATGAAATGCCCGAGGTGGGCCACAGTCATCTAGCTCTTGATGGCCTTGATGGCACTCACAAAACAGTGTAGGAAGGGTGTTACAGGTGAGTGACAGATAGCATGTGGATACTGCTTTTGTTTCTTTTTATTTTAAATGAAGCCACCAGCATTTAACCCTACTACGTAGTTACCTGCAAAAGTACTCGTCAATGCAAAATCAGAAAGAGGAATTACTACAAAAGTGACTTTTGAAATACGTGTGTCATCCACCTGACCTATTAAGCGAAAGAAATGGCCGAGTAAGAGAAAACCCCTTAAAGAAAATGACCCCTGAACTTCAAGATAGTAGAATGTAAGCTTGCCAGCCATGAAGAGCTGGTTGGTTGGCAAATGTTGGTATGCGTTGAGTGGGAAGGGCAGGTTGTAGAACACTGTGGTCGCAGTATTTCCTCTCTACTCTTTGCAAAGCTCTGGGCATCGGTCACACTGCTGTGAACCCAGAAAACCCTGCAGTCAGCAGATCTGAGTGTACTAAGGCACTTGCTGATCTTGCAGAGGATCTGAGTTCGGTTCCCAGCACCTGTGTGGGGTATCCATCTCACAGGTACCCCACTCCAGCTCCAGGGCATTCAGTGCCCTTTTCTGGCCTCCAAGAATGTATGCACCCGTGCATACACATAAATAAAAATAAACCTTTTTAAAAGGGGTGGAAGTGAGCCAAACACTCAGACACGTACATTCTAGCTCTCTTCTAACCTTTCCTGCCAAGCACCGGATGCTTTGACTGCCTGCTGTGATGGACTGAAATCCTTAAACTTTCTGCCTTAAACTAACTCGGTCAGGGTATGTTATCATAGCAACAGGAAAAGAAACCAAAACAGACAAGGAGGGTGACCCAATGGGCTCAGCTGTCACACCTAGGCAAGAAGGTGGAGTGAAAACCAGCCAGGCGGCTCCAGTTTACGGAAGGGAGCTCATGCTTTCTTGGGTGGGGGTCAGCTAATTACACCTCCTCAGGCTGAATTCCACTTGCCATGTCTGCCACCCTCTCACTGTGGTTGCTGTCTCTGAGGATGGAAGAGCTGTTTTATAACCTTTCCAGATGCATGGCAATATGAGTCATTCTTGGGACATTATCCCAAGTTATCTTACTATTTCCTAGTAAATCTGTGTGTGTGCCAGCCTCTCACAAATCACAGCCCAGTGCTTTCAAAAATACACAATCTAGGAAGGGAAGCTTTCTCAGTCAAGTGGGTTGAATGCTTAACCTGGGGTTTGCAGCCATAAGTGCTTTTATTGGGAACTTGTTTTCCTCGCTCTCTCCACAGATCGTTTGGCTATAGGATGGGCTGTGTGTAAATGCCTTGTGATTCCTCAGGGAGCATTGAGATCTTGGGGAACACACCGTTTGAAAAATATTAATTTTCTTGTGCATACCATTAACCCAAATCAGTGATTAAGAATTTTCCAGGCACAGTGGTGCACACCTCAAACCCCAGCATTTGGGGTGCTGAATCAGGGGGATCTCAAGTTAGAAGCCAGCCTGGACAGCAGAAGAAAACCCTCTTTTTAAAAAATGAAACAAGAGCAAACAAACAGAAAAAGAGTTGTCTTGCGCCTTCATTGCCCTTTATTTGTCTTTGGTATCGCAGAGAATAACACAGCCATCAGCCCCGAGACCAAATTTTCCCTGCTTTTGTCTCTCTGATTGCATAGTTACTGGTATTTTCAAGACCGCTGCAAGAATACTGCCTCTACCCATTGTGACTTCTCAGTTCTCTCTAAGTATGGTGACCACACCGTGCGAGTCAGGGCGGAATTTGCAGATGAGCATTCGGAGTGGGTAAATGTCACCTTCTGCCCTGTGGATGACAGTAAGCCATTTATTTTCCGTTTTGTTATATGTGGTCATCTTCCCTTGCTTTTGCCCACATTGGTGATCCATCAGTAAGGATTCTTAGCATGCCTGCAGATGAATGGCCTGTGCCCAGGAAGCTAGGAATACAGCACAGAAGCTGTGCCCTCAAATAAATTCATGGGCGAAGCAGGAAAAAAAAATATGTGTGTCACCAATGACATAAATGAATATAAATTTGATGACTTCACTACCACACATGTATGGATGAGTTAGGACCAGCTCTGTTAATGAGAGGAAAACAGAAAGCTTTGACAGTTTTCTGGAAGGAAGTCACTGAGGAATTATGAGTTAAACCAAGAAATGTGGGCATGGAGAGGTGACTCAGTGGTTAAGAGCACAGGCTGCTCTTCCTCAGAGCTCAGGTTCAATTCCCAGCACCTACATGTCAGCTCAGAACAGTGTGACATTCCAGGCCCGTGGGATCCAACAGCAGTTGTGGCCTCTTTGGGCACCTGGTACACACACAGAGCATACCTATAGGCAAAACACCACACACACAAAATTACAATCAAATAAAAACTAGTTATTAAAATGAGACAGATGGCCAGAGGGTAGAGGTAGATGCAGAGTGTTTAAAGCCCATTGTAGGGAATGCGACTGCGCCTGTCTGGAGAAAGGCCGGGCGTGGGAGAACTGGCTGAGGCAGGCTGATAAGCGTCAGAAAGAACACCCTGCCCCTGCTGCTAAAGTGGAGGGCTGTGAGGAAGAACATGTTTAAAGTATCGGGAATTGAAACCTAAAGGCATTGGTGGTGCACGCCTTTGGTCCCAGCACTCGGGAGGCAGAGGCAGGTAGATCTCTGTGAGTTCCAGAACAGCCTGGTCTATAAGAGCTAGTAGCTCCAGGACAGCCTCCAAGGCCACAGAGAAACCCTGTCTCAAAAGAAAGGGGGGGGGGGGTGAGGGAGAGAGGGAGGGGGAGGGAGGGAGGAAGCAAGCTAGGTAATTAAACCACCATACAGCAACTGGTAGACTAGAGCAGATCAGAGGTCACGAGAATGCCAGGAACAAACTCACATAAGGCCCCGTAGGATCATCAGAAGGGTTGTCAATAAAGGTCTTTCCAAGTGGTCTCTGCCACTTCTGCAGTCAGATCCACCCTCAGACAGAGCGAGACTGAAGTCCATTCTCTTCCCAAATCTATCATGTGCACAGAACTCTCAAACATTTAAAAGTACAGTTCAGGGCTGGAGAGATGGCTCTGGTGAAGAGCACACGCTGCTCTGCCAGAGGCCCCGGTCTGATTCCCAGCACCCACAGGGCAACTCACAGCTGTCTGTAACTCCAGTTCCAGGGGGATCTGACAGGTTCACACCAGCGCACACAAAATACAGTTAAGTAAATTGTTTAAAACAGCACACAGTTCACTGGTCGCCAGGCTCCAAAACCAAACTCTCTTCAGTGCTGTTATGACCCTGTGAACCCATCATAAACTGAAGATATCATAAATCAAGAATGCATTTGACAGGAGTAGTCTACCACACCCTAGCTCACCAACACAGCGTGCAGTAGAGGATTGCTTTATCTCCCTCCTGACCCCAGGGCTGAAGAGGAAGTGGAGGCTTACACCATCTGGCTGCTTTAGAAAAGGAAATCAAACCACAGGTCCTTCGCTTGGGGGCTACTACAATTCAGAGGGCAAAATACAGCCTCTGTCTAGTGTCAAGTCTTTGTCACACCATAAGCCAAGCCTCTGAACACCTACTGCATGCTAGGCATGTTCTTAGCATCGAAGCTGCAACAACAAACAAGGACAAAGCTTTGTTCTCGGGGAGTATAACAGACTCACAGGAAGAGTGACGGTAGGTAACCCAACATGTAGATATTTTATGATGTAGCGTGACTATGGCTCTCAAAGTGCAAAGTCAACAGGAAGAGAGGGCTGCCACTCTTGTCCATAGAGCCATCATATACAGGATCCCCAAGGAATGGAGTTCCAGAAGAGTCAAGCTACATGAATACCTGTTGAAAGAAAATCTGATATGTATGTATGTATGTATGTATGTATGTATGTATATATGTATGTATGTATATATATGTATATATATATATATAGTTACAGATGACAAATATTTATAAGTAATCTCTACAGATAATAGAAATAGCATTTGTAGCTTTAAGGGCAGAAAACAGCCAGGAGTTGGTGACGCATAATCCCAGCACTCTAGAGGCAGAGGCAGGCAGATCTCTGTGAGTTGGAGGCCAGCCTGGTCTACAGAGTGAGTTCCAGGACAGGATCCAAAACAATACAGAGAAACCCTGCCTCGAAAATAAATAAATAAATAAATAAATAAAGCCAGAAAACAAAAGAAAAATTGAGCCAGTCGAAGGCAGAAACAAAAAGAAAGAGAAGAAGCTAATGAAATTAAAAATTTTAGAATAGCCTTCTTGTCAAGCGCGGCCGGACATGTCTGTACCAACAGAGCTAACAAGGCTTAGGCAGGGAGAGAGTACACATCTTAGCTAATGTGAATTTTTACAAACAATGCCATAGTTGAAACAATCCTAAATATATTAGACACCACTGTAAACATAAATGGATTACATTTGACTAATGGAGACAAAGGTTATCAGATCTTTTCAAGTAGGCAAAGATCCCATCCATCTTCCTCAGCAGCAGCACCCAGTGTGGTAGCAGTGGTCTGTCAAGGGTGACAGTTACCTCCAGTAGGTCGTTGCACACATATATGAGGGGTTGATGCCCAAGTGAACTGGTTAAAAGGTAACCTCTGATTGTCCTTCTACTGTGTTCTCATGCTTAGCCATCATTGGACCTCCTGAGATGCAGATAGAACCTCTTGCTGACTCTCTGCATATGCGTTTCTCGGCCCCCAAAATTGAGAATGAACCTGAGACATGGACCATGAAGAACATTTACAACTCATGGGCTTACAGGGTGCAATACTGGAAAAATGGGACTGATGAGAAGGTAAGCTTGGCTGTCGTGTTCCTTTCAGATGTAGGCGCCCATGTCCTGCTCAGTTTGGTAGGGGCTGGGCTGATGGCTCGCTGGGTGAAGTGCTGGCTGCGCAAACAGGACCAGGGTTTGTATTCCCCAAGGCCAAGCATGATACTGCACAGTGTAACCACAGTGCCAAAAGATGGACACAGGAGATTCCTGGGACTCACTGGCCTGCTGCTTAGTCTGTGGGTGAGCTCCAATTTCAGGGAGACACCCTGTCTCAAAATTAAGGTGAGCAGTGACAGAGGAAGACACCTGATGCCAACCTCTGGCTTACATACACACACACACACACACACACACACACACGTATACACACACATATACACACAAGTACACACATGCATGCACACACACATGCACACACATGCATGAACACACACGTATACACATGTATGCACACACACATTGGTGTGTGTTCACATCTGTGCAAGCACACACAGATGCCTGGCCAAGTAGGGTCTTGTAAAGTGACAGCACCTGGTGACCAGAGAGTCTAAAGCCAAAAGCTCTGGACTTCCGTGCATCAAAGGGCAGACTCGCGGATTGAAGTCCACACAATGGACTTCCTTCCCCTTGAGAGGAAGTTGCAGGAGAAACAGGGCATAGTCAGCATTTGGCTGAGGGGGGCTGGAGTCGGCTGACACGCCATAGCCTCCCACATACCACAAACCAGCCACTTCATAGCTAGGACGCCCCCCAACTCCAGAGATGTTAAGAAGTGCCATTGTTAACACTTCCTACCTGCTTTCCCTATTGCTCTCTTAGGAAACATTCTTTTAAAAGAAATTTTATTGCATATATTTCTTTATGCCCATGGGCATGCCCCAGCCATGAAGATCATTGGCCTTCACAAGCTGAGTCCTTCATAGCTCAGAGACAATTCTTCCCAGATAAAGGTTGGAGCACAAAAGTCTGGTGAGAATATTGCCTCTGTCATCATGTTGCTCTGGTCACAGCCATGGCCTCAGCTTCTTAAGGCCTAAGAATGGGCACAATAACCCACTCCACCCACAAAACAGGAAGGGAAGTCCAGTTCATAGAATTGTGGGATTTGCTGACAGAAGCAGAACTTTCCCGTTATCTGCAATAGTAGGAGGCTCTCTTTTCTTTATGTAGACACATTTGTTCATTTTTGGTCAAACTCATTGCTTCTGAGCTGAATACCATTCGTGGTTGTAAACTGACATGTGTGCTGTATAAGTGAATTACATTAACTAGTCATCAGTTTCTTCCCAAGAGTCTGAGAGTCTTAGGATGATATAATTAAACACACACACACACACACACCCCAAGAGCCAAACACAAATCTCAAGTTAATTTTCCACCCAAAAAATCTTCCACAGAGTGAGGCTGTGTTAGTCTGTTCCCACTGCTATAATAAAATGGGTGGTTTAAAAATGGCAATTCTAAAGGCAGAGGGACCCAAGGTCAAGACACAGGGGCAGACCCAGTGTCCAGTGAAGAGAAGCTCACTTTGCTCCCAAGGTAGTACCTGAGGCTGCACCCTTGGTGACTAAGGTAGAAGGGAAGGAGTGGACAGCTCCCTGGCGCCTGTTTGTGAGGTATTTAATGCTGTTCACTAGGGCTCCCGCCAGCCACCTCCTGAAGACCACAACTTAAGACACATTTTTTAAATTTAATTTAAATTGTGTGTGTGTGTGTCTGTGTGTGTGTGTCTGTCTGTGTGTGTGTGTGTGTGTGTGTGTGTGTGTGTGTGTGTGTGTATGTGTGTAGAGGTCAGAGGACAGTTTGTAGAAGTTGGTTCTCTCCTTACGCCATGTAGGTCCCAGGTAGAACTCAAGTCATCAGGCTTGGTTTTACCCACTAGGCTGTCCCAACAGCCTGGCCTTCCATTTTAACACGGTGTTTAAGTTTCATCATAAGACGCGTACATTTAAACCACAGCATATAGGACATCTGCCTTTGCAAGAGATGGTTTTGCTCACAGTCAAGACTCCAGGAAGTGCATGTCTACAAAAATATCTAGTTTCATAATCACTCAACCAATGTAATATCTCTGCTAGGCTCTGCACCCCCAAAGGCCCATTCACTACACTCCAGGGATCGTTGATGTCTTCTAATTAAGGATCTAGTTCCTTAGTCTCCATGGCTGAGTACCTCCCTCACCAAGCATGACATGCAAACCCCTCATAATTTGCTTCTTATCTAGAATACGCCCGCAGTACTGGCATGTGGTTACATGTCCATCCGCCAGCTCCACTTGCTGTGAGAATGTTAGAAAGGCCACCTGCTCCCTCCCTGCCACCCCAAACCATAACAACCTCCCTCGGATGCTGCCAGATCAGTTCCCTGAAATGGTGATAAAAGGCGTTTGGGAGTTCTATTGTATTGATGGGGGGGTGGGGGATGAAAACGGAATAGCCCAGACGCAACAAGAGAAAGCCCCAGAGGAGATTTGAGAAGGGTCCTTCACCTATGGGCACCTGTACTTCAGAATCACATGACAAGGTTTAGGGGCACTGAACTAATAGAATTAAATCCAGCCTCCGCTGTTTCCTTTTATTGTTGTTGGTGTACTTTGTTTATGTGGGCTCAGTCTCTTCTTGTATTCCATACACGTAACCCAGTTCCTGCTATCCGGGCCGACAAGCTGGCAACAGCCCCACCCCCACGGGGAAAAGAACGGAATTAGGAAAAGAGAGAGGCGTCTATGCTCCCTTAGTGCTATGCTCTTTTATTTCCCTTTATTTTGCTGAGGAACTGTTCTGGCTCCTCAAACTCAGAAGCATGTCATTAATTGTGATGTTCTTATATCGTAATTCAAATAGCATTAGTCAAGGACTCTAGCCACCAGGGAAGAACGCAGGAGAACCCTGAAGAGAGTGAGAGCCCGGGAGTTGGGGGAGCCCACGAGGCACATACGCGAGGACCCAAACAGCTAGGGTCACAGCCATGCTATGAACCCGTGGGGGTGGCAGGGACAGGGTGGGAAGCCCCATACATATCTCCTGCTAGCTAGCTAAGTGAGTAGCTTCAACCACAGAAGTGGATTGTCTACCATCTCCTGAAGATGTGGGACTCTCCCCCAGCTCCTGTAGCCTTGCTGGCGATCGCCTGGCACGCTCTGGCTTCAAAGAGCACCTTCCAGTCTTGGCCTTTTCTTTACACGGCCTTATCCCTGAATGCCAATCCATATGATCTGCGCAGGTTTCTATTCTTTAAAATAATATATTGTTTTTAAAGGTTTATTTTAGTATAGTGTAATGTGTGTGTGTGTGTGTGTGTGTGTGTGTGTGTGTGTGTATTGGGATTAAGGGCATGCACCACCATGCCCAGCAATAAATTTAAATTTTAAAAGAGTCTACATCCAAATAAGGTCACATTTACAGACACAAATGCATGGGATTTTATATGATGCGGTTCAATCCATTAAAAGTGGTTACCCTCATTTTGTTTTAACTGAATGTATTAGTTTGTGAACGGCACCATGGAAACCCTCATGAGGGTACAGGGGACCATGCCTGAGGAACATTTAACCCATAGCCATCAGGATGAACTGCTTCTCTACAATGCGTCTGCATTCAGCTTGGCAAGGCTCCACCTTTCAGAGGTGTGGCACTCAAACGTGGTCCTAAAGAGAGTCTCAGCCACACATGTCTTCTTCTGTGGCGTGCATGATGACTCCTCAATGTGTGCGGCTGGCACATCCCAAAGGCACCTGGCATACCTGTCTGGAGTCTAGAGTGGGGGTAGCTTGAGAGCAAGGATAACGTGTCTCCAAGGTCCCGTAGAGCAACCTATGTAAGCTGCAGGTTGTATGCACTCCCAAGGAGACTGCTGTTTGCAGGGTTTGCACCCTGGGGCCCCATGAGGAAAGGAAAGGAACCTGGTTGCCTTCATTGGCTACAGAATTTTTTTTTAAGATGAGTGTGATGGTTTAGATGCCACATATGCTACAGAATTGAGGCAATGAGAAGGTTTGCTGTCCTCACAGCTGGTCTTGTCACATTCCTTAGGATGCAACGTGTGTCGGGAGCTGCAAGGACTTCCAGCCAGTGGCTCTTTCTGATAAGCTGAAGCACAGTTTATAGCCTGTGGGAAAGGGAAATAAAAAAAGAGATGGTGTCCCTTATTGCAATGCGCGTCTCCCTTACAGATTCAAGTCACTTCTCGGTATGACTCCGCGGTCCTCAGAGATCTGGAGGCGTGGACAACTTACTGCATTCAAGTTCAAGGGTTTCTTCTTGACCAGAACAGAAATGGGGAATGGAGTGAACCTGTCTGTGAGCGGACAACCAATGATGGTGAGTAGGGACCGGGACGGCCTGTAACTGCCCTATCAGGGCTACATGGACTCTATCCATAGGTCCCAGACACCATGGCAAGTCAGCTCAGCCTCCACGGGTCAGAGGTCAGCCTCCCCATCATCCACACGGTCCCCAGACCCTGTTGGCTCTGCCTCATGCTATAAATGAGATGCCCCATTCTGAGGACACTGGCTCCCCCTTGCCAGCCCAGCATGAGCTCTGCCTCCATGAGTCCAACTTTACTACGCTCTACAGTCCTCATGGCTCTCTGAAATAGGTTAGTTGGTCCTCACACAACCAACCACCCAGCAGAGACTGAGCCCCGCCACACCTTGACTTTCCTCCCGCCATCTCAGGCTTTGGGTGCATATAATGACTGGGAAGGGCAACTTGGAATGCATATCAGCATCTCAGCTACTGCCATTGCGTATTGAGGCCCCTCAATATGGAACCAGGGTACAGTTTACTAATGGGACAATGGTCAGGGGGGTGTGGTTCAGTGATAAAGGTCTTACCTAGCATCTGTGGCCCTGGATTCTACCCCATCTCGTGTATGCCAAGACTCTCAGTCATCCAAGAGCATGATAGGCGGGACCTGTAGAGCCACCGGTGAGGGACACAGTTCATTCTAAAAGAAAGCCACTTCAAGCCTGGCATGGTGGCCCAAGCCTTTAGTTCCAGTACTTAGCACGAGGCCAGGCTAGACCGTAGTGAGTTGCAGGCTTAACCAAGGCCACAGGGTGAGACTCTGTCCCCTGACAAGATCCAAACTTTTTTATTATTTGTTTTTTTAAGAGAAATAGAAAACCTGTTTGGCAAACACCCATTTTATAGGTTGGCTTTTGTTGTTGTTTTGTTTCTTTATTTAAATACTATGGAAGGTTTTCAGTGCCAGTATCTTAAGGCTCTAGGAAAGGAGGCCCCCGGCTCTATAGTGAAGGATAAAGACAGAATAGACCACACCCCCTGTGCAAGCCCAGGTTACTTCTCTTTAACTCACAGCCTACAGACTAATTCCAAAGGTAGACTGAGGCAACCAAACCCTTGACATAAAACCAAGGAACGTGGCCTTCTAATAGTGTATCAAATAGATCTGCAGCCAGGGTGTGGGGGGGGGGGGAGGGAATGGGCCGGCCAGGGGGATGTGGCTAGGTGAGTTGCCCTGAAGTTCACAGGGCTTTAGAAAGCACCCTCCCATCTCTGCACTCTTCCTGAGATACAACAAAAATGTCACCATCAGCCAGATGTGTTCTTATCTAACATACCAGGAAACCAGCAGTTATTACATTCACCCCCCCCCCCCGCCCAGAGAGTCTGGAAACACTGACTCACGCTGCCGCCCTGGGGTAGATGGGGTGACCTCATATTGTCAGAGCCCTCCTAGGGGCCACTCCAGCCAGCTCTCTGGGCCCTGTGTCTGCCAGGAAAACAACAAGCAAAGGGCTGTGCAGTGTGAAAGGAGACCCTGGGGCTGGGGTAGAGTTCTTCCACTCTGGTGAGGTCTGGCGAGGCAGGACGGGCAGGAGGTTGGTGTGTGTGGATGCAAGCACAAGGGGACAAGAGAGGAAGCAGGGGAGGCAGAAGATGTGACCGTTTCTTCCCAGCCTCTCACCATCTGTCCATCTGTCTGCCCATCCATCCATCCATCCATCCATCCATTTATCCATGGACATTTTGCTCAAATACCAGCAGACGCCTATCATCAGTGGATTCCCAGGACTGCCGTACTGGGCACGGTTCTCTGATCTTCTGTGACTTAAGTGACTGGTATTCTCCGCACAGTCCCTTGCAGATGACCAGCTCCTACCAGGCAGAGTTTGCTCTCCCAGGCCCTCCAGGAACAGATGCACATATCCTCGTTCATGAAGGCAATACTGGTTAGCAAGGGTGGGGTCGAGGGAGGCCAGTTGGCCATGTCAGCAGGAGAAGGGACAGAAGCTGGGACCATAGCTGACCTCCTGGAGACTGCCACATAAGTATGATATCCACCCCGCCCACACCTGTTGCAGTGACCACGCCCATTGGGGCATGGGGACAGGTGTGGATGTGACCTGTGGGATCTCACTTCTGACACCAGAATATTGTGTGGGAAATAAGATTCTGGGGCACAATATAGATTGATTGATGTTTATTCAGGGAGTAATCACTCAGGCCTGAAACAGATGACCGCCGCAGGTTCCTGCTCCAAGGATGCCCCCAATGCTCTCTGCAACCCAACCAGGAAGTAAGAGAGCATGCTGGGGTCTGGGACCCCAGACCTAGACCCACAGGTCACATCCACACCTGTCCCCACCCCCAATGGGTGTGGTCAGTGCATAGGTGCTGGCAGGGTGGACATCTCACTACACGTAAGCCAAGCAGGATTGGTTTAAGCAGAAACACTGGATTTTATTGAGTGACTGCTAAGCACAATGGGGGACGGGGCTGAGCTGTGCTTACACAGAGATGTGTCCAAATGGAGAAAGTGGAGAGGGAGGAAGCCAGAGCAAGCAGAAGAGAAAAAAATGGCCATACTGAGCATAGTGCCATCACCACTCCCTATCTGGGTCTCCCAGCTGGCATTTATCAAAACCTGCTGGTCTCCTACAGAGACGTCCTTCCTGTTGGCATCACAAATGTGGTTATCAGTCGTTGATGAAGACGCGGCTGAGATGCAGCACTACAAGTATGTTCAGAGGCAGACAAGGTCTCAGGTGCAAAGGCCTTTCTAGAAAAGCAAGTAATCAGAGGCATGTGGTCAGGCGTGACAACACGCACTCACTGTGTAGGCTCTGGTCAAGAAGCATGGACAGGCCCAGGGACAGGGCATCAGTGATGGCCACTCGGGTCTGTGTGCTCCTGGGTACAAAGCTGTTTTCCCCTCTCATACCAAGCACGGGGCCTGTGCCTCCCTGGGGCCCTCTGTGCAATGTCAGTAGAATCCCCAGAGCAGGCAGGCTCCTAGGCTCTCCACAGACAGGAAAGTAAACCAGGGCCCTTGCTGCTACTTCTGTGTGCTGTCAATCATGCCGGAAACTACACTGTAAATAAAGAAGGTTCAGGAAAGAAGTGAAACACATTGAAAACACCAAGAACCTTCAGCCAACTGCCATGACTCTGGGCCATTGTGACCAGACGGCTCTATTTTCTTTTTCTGGGTTTTTCAAGACAGGGTTTCTCTGTGTATCCCTGGCTGTCCTGGAACTCACTGTGTAGACCAGGCTGGCCTCAGACTCATAGAGATCCACCTGTTTCTGCCTCCCAAGTGCTGGGATTAAAGGCGTGTGCCACCATCGCCCAGCCAGACGGGCCTGTTTTGAGGGAATGTTTTGGCTCACAATGCTTGCAATGGGTGTGACTCAATCTGTGCTGTGCTAAGAGCCTAACCAGCACCACTGTCCCCAGCAGAAACGACCCCTCCCTGGATAGTGGCCATCCTCCTCGTAACCTCCGTCTTCGTGGTCTTCCTCTTCCTGCTGGGCTGCTTTGGCTTGCTGTGGTTCATTTGTAAGAAGGCCAAGTACACCTTCCATTCTGGGACGTCTCTCCCACAGCACCTGAAGGAGGTAGGTGGGATGGAATGAGGGGAGACCTCTGAGGTGGAGGCTGTCCATGCTGCGCAACATGTTCTGTGGCAGCATCATACATGTCCGTGCGCTGGCCCGTTTCCCATGCCAAGAAAGCAAAGGCTTGTTCCAGATCTCCCCCCCTCCCCCGACCTGCATTGTGCCTGCCTCTACTGCCCAGAGCATCAAGTCCTTGGGTTCACAGGTCATGGTTCTGGAGAAGGAAGGGTTGAGGGAGAGGGGTGTGGTGGGTTTTCAGTCTGGAAATGTCACCATGATTGATGTTCTAGGGTGTGAATCATGGAAGGTGCTGGGGGGGGGGGTGTTTGATGAAGGTTTGGAGAGAAGAGGGAATACACTGGCTAAAGACTGTAAGACTGGCAAGCTCTTTGGAAATTGCATTCTGTACTATAGCCAGCCTTCCCTGAGAGCGGATTCTGTGTCTGTCGATTCAAACAAATGCAGATCACGTATATTTTTTTTAATTGTATCTGTAACTGCTGGGGTATGTGGTCACACAGGCGCTAGTTATCTGCCTGTCTTCCTTTATTGTAAGACAGAGTCTTGTGCAGCTCAAGCTGACCTTGAACTCAGAGTGTAGCTGGGAATGGCTTTGAACTTCCCACCCTCTTGTTTGGGATCACGGATGTGCACCAACATGTCCAGTCGTCTGGTGTGCTGGCACTCACTCTGCTGAGTTACATCTAGAGTAGGCTGGAAGACAACTTCTAGTTAGTCCTGTCGTCCTACCATGGAGACAGGAAGTCACCCCAGGTCACTGGCTTTAGGTAGAAAGCGCCTTTACCTGCCTAGCCATCTCACGGCCCAGAAGCTCCTCTTTTATTAAAACAGAGTAAGACTCCACCCAGGTACCAGGGTTTGTGTGCTCACCCCTGGGCGATGCTTGCCTTCGTTCTGCGTTTGGGCACTGTTATTGGTTCAGTGAGTCTCTTCAGATTTCATTTCCCTTGGGAGCACACCTGTGAGTGGAATTGCTAGGTCATGTGGTGATTTTTCCCCCCACCACAATATAACTGTTGCGTTTTAAAGTTGTGTCTTTGCAGCCCTCACGTTTTACATAAAACCCTTGTCAGCCCAGAGAAAGGAGGAAAAATGGGGATGGGGGTTTTGGTTCTTAAGTAATGGCCTGTGACTCTCCCGCAGTTTCTGGGTCACCCTCACAGAGCTTCCCTGCTCTTCTCCCTCCCTGTCTCTGATGAGACTGAGGTGTTCGACGAGCTGAGCATCGTCCATGAGGAGGCTGAAGGCAAGCAGGATCCCAGAGACAGCTGTGCACTGGGGACCCCATGCGAGCCAGGACCTCAAGAGCTGGGGTCCAGGGACAGAGCCCCCTCGCCGACACATGGTGACCCTTTACATCTCACATCTGCCTCAGAAGTGTGACCAGACGGGCCAGTTGAGAAAACCCTAAACCTGGAACTTGCTGATGCTCGCTCCACTTGTGCAGAAGAGTCAGAGAGCCCGGTTTTGAAAGCTCCAGTGACAAAACACTCCATTTGGAGGCTCACCGCCTTATTGAGTTTAATAGTTTGGGGACGGAGGGAAGGCTCTGCTGATAGAGTGTTTAACATACATGAAGTCCTGGCTTCATCCCCAACACCATATTAGCCAGGAATGCCGGTGCAGCCTACAAGCACTACCCTTTGCAGGTAGAGACAGGACGAGCAGGGGTTCAAGGCCAAGCTGGACTAAAGTCCCTGTCTAAAAGACAGAGAGACATTATTGTTCTTTTAATGACCACTGAATGTAATTGGAGCCCCTTGTGCTCACTAAAATAGACAAACAGAAATAAGGAACAAAAGTGAAAACATTATAAAATCATAAGAATGTCTGAAAAGTGATTGGCCCCACACTCGACAGACATGGGTGTTTTGGATTCTCAAGGATCAAACGGATACCCTTTCCTAGCTGTGTGTTTTGTGTATTACTGGTGTCCTGTGAATATTTCGTATTTGTATATTTGTGTTTTCTAGCTTCCCGCTGTTGTAACAAAATACGTGACATAAACTATTTAAAGGGAAGAAAGATTTTGTTGTTATTGTTGTTGTTTTAATGTAGGGTCATAGCTTCAGAGGTTTCTGTTCTTGGCCTCTTCGCCCCTTTGTTTTGGGCCTACGCTGGCACACTACAGCTTGGGGGATGCATGTTAGACACTGTTCACCTCATGGTAGCCAGGAAAAGAGAGGGCATGGGGAGGGCCAGGGCCCTAAGGTCCCTCTTTAGGGGCATTCTCCCAGTGACCTAACTCCTCCTAGGTTCTACCTCCCAACTGTGCCACAAGCCGGCCACCATTGTCCACAGATCTCATTGTTTAGCATATGGGATTTGGGGATGCTGACGATCTGAGCCACGTTTGGGTGACTGTTAAAATATGCATGAATGTTGAGGGTGCACACCTAATCTTTTACTCAGTAGCTCCATCTCGGTGCCCCCCCCCACCAAAACAGAAAAACCCTGGGCTTTGTCCACTAAGACATTTACTAGACTGCGACCTCTCTGTCTCACCTGTGTGTGGGTTGAAAAGACAATGATTAAAGATGCAAATGTACCCCAGGGCCAGCATATAATAGTCACCAGATAGACAGTGTCAGTTCCTAACCAACACTATTATCCAATAGGTGTGACAACCTCCGTAAGTACAGACCAATACAAATGTCCCCAGTCTGTGCCAGAATGACCAAAAAAGCAGATCCATCAAAGGTTCCTCCCTCAAAAAAAAACAACTTTGAATTTGTGGATGTAGCTCAAGTGTGGGACCCTTGTCTAGCGTGAGCAAAGCCCTGACCGCCACCACTGCCGCCATATTAGGTCTGTATTGCTGTGCCGACCAAAAGCGATTTGGAAAGGAAAGAGTTTATTTATCTTACAGCTTAGCAGTCCATCATGAGGGGAAGCCAGGACAGAAACCGGAGGGCAGGAACTGAAACCGTGGAGGAACGCTGCTCACTGGCTTTGCCCTCCTGGCTTGCTCAGTTTGCTTTTTCATAGACACCAACACCCACCTCAGTGAGCCGGGCCTCCCACATCAACATAGACAATGCTTGTCCACAGGCCAGTGTGCTGGAGACATTTTCTCAATTGACATTCTCTTGTCTCAAATGACTCTAGCTTGCATCAAGTTGACAAAAAGCTAACCAACACACACACACACACACACACACACACACACACACACAACACATACCATACACCACACACAATACCACACACACACTCTACCTTACCACATACCACACACACACACCACACACAATACCGCACACAAACACACACACACTCCACCTCACCACATACCACATACACACACACACATACACACCACCTCACTATATACCACACACACACACAACACATACCACACACCACACACAATACCACACACACACACCACCTCACCATATACCACACACACACACCACATACACACACACAATCACATACCACACACAATCACATACCACACACACCACATACCACACACACACACTACCACATACCACACACACACACACTACCACATAACACACACACTACCACATAACACACACACACCACATATCACACACACACACCACCTTACCACATACCACACACACACACACATACACACCACCTCACTATATACCACACACACACAACACATACCATACACCACACACAATACCACACACACACCACCTCACCATATACCACACACACACAAAACCACATACCACACACACACACCACATACACACACACAATCACATAACACACACACTACCACATACCACCATATCACACACACACACACTACCACATAACACACACACACACGCACACCATTTTAAAAGCAGAATGAGAACATGGTTTATGAGCCTCACAGACCCAGTGGGCTTCAGTTCTTGACTGAGACAACCTCACTCTGCTGATGGCCAGTGATTAGTCTGCCCTTACTCTCTCCTCCATGGAGCCAATGTCGTAAGGGAGTCCATACAAAACCACAACATGCAACTCAAAGGGAGTAACACATTCATTCTGGAGCTAGAACATGAGTGACCAGGACTCTGAACAGAGTTGGGATGCTCTCAATGCAATGCTACGATGTAGCAGAGGTTTTGTGGAGATTTTAATGTAACAGAAGAAAGTAAATTATAAATCCAAGCACCTAACAGTACATAGCGGGCTCTCAGCTATGGGCCACAGACGCTGTCTGATTCTATTCCCAGCCCTTCTGTTGGTGGAGGATAGGGTTTTGTGAAGACACTGCATTCCAAAGGTTTTTTTTTTTTTTTTTTTTTTTTTTTTTTCTGCTCATCAGGATATTAGGTCTACATACAGGTGGACATGGAGACTTTCTGGGGCTAAAATAGCCTGAGAGAAGTTGTAATTAGACTCTCCACCTTGAACACTCACTCCACAGTCATTGTAGAAGCCTCCTTTCAGGAATCCCATCCACTAAGGCAAGTGCCCAAGCTCTCCCTCCTCAACCCCAAAGGCTGGAAAGGTCCAGTGGAGAGCTGGGAATGGTATTTCATGCCTGTGATTCTAGCACTTCAGAGACAGAGGCAGGAAAATTGACAAGTTCAAGACCAGCCTGGGCTATGTAGAGAGACTTTGCCTCAAATAAAACACACAAAACGAAAGCTCCAGAAATGGCTAATGGGCATAGTAGCATATGGATAAATGCTGAGATCAGAGAAGTCAAGGAGCCAGCCACTAGAGAGACCTCTTACCTCCACCCACATCCTCAGACCTAATGGGCGAGATCCGGTCTCCACCCCCCCCCTTATATTCCAATCCCCACCTTCCTAGTGCTGGGATTAAAGGCTTGTGCTTGCCAAGTACTGAAATCAAAGGCTTGAAATCCCAAGTGCTGGAATCAAAGGTGTGAGCCACCACTGCCTGGCCTCCATGGCTATCTAGTGGCTAGCTCAGCCCTCTGATCTTCAGGCAAGCTTTGTTTGTTAGCACACAAACAAAATATCACCACACTGCCTCCCCAGCCTAACACATACCCTTTGAAGTGTTTCTTAGCAAGGATAGAAAAAACTCAGAGGCCAGTAAAACCCAAAGAGGTTGTCAATGCTGCCTTCCACCTCAAAGGCATTTCAGCTTTTAGCCTCTCATAAAAGCTCTCGGGATAGAAAGTAAGCCATCAACCCGGATGGCGCCTAAAGGAGACCCCAAAGATTGAGACCCTTTGTAAAGGGTGAACTGGGAACAAATGAGCCCTTTCCCCCCATGCCAATGTCCTTTGACTAGTGGGATAAGTCCCCACACTCCCAGCAGTTTAAGATGGCAGAGTTAATTTTCAGAGTTCGAGACCCCAGCATCAATGGGATGAAATTGAAGGGTTCAAGGGGCCTCTGGGGGATCTGAAGAGAATCCATTCCTTGCCTCTTGCGAACCTTGTTATTCTTTGGCTGTGGCCATACCCAGCCTCCCTCTGCCCTCTCTCTGTCTCGTCCTACCGCACATCTCTCCTAAGGGTTCTGTTAACTGCTGGCATATGGCAGATCTCAGTGCTTGTAGTCACATCTGCAAAGAACACCTGGCACCATTTCAAGGGCTGAGTGCCAGGATCTGATGACCTTTGGGATCGTTACTCAGGGCCATTGTGCCATTGTGTACCAGCCTGAACTACAAGGAAACCATTTTGGTTCACTTTGAGGTTTAGCTTGCTTGCTGAGCGACGAAGCCAGATTTATCTTTCCTGAGACGTTCTAACCTCACAGCGGCCCTTGTGGTGGGTCCCAGTCCCAAACCACCCTAACGAGGTGGCCAAACAAAGCTTCAGGGTCAACCCCTAGAGATCACAAAACCCAAAAGTGGGTCTAGGACTAACCAGAGCCGGTGGAAGCAATGACCTGCTAAGTCAGACCCAGCAAGGTGCAGAAGGTGCACAGAATAAAAACGGTCGATGTGGGTGGGTGTTTGGGTCACCCCATGGGAGAAGACCTTGGCAGCGTGAGGGGAGCCCGGGAGGTGAATCACGCATTGACCCCAATTTTCTATGGAGTTTTCCAGCAAAGGGTTGTTTCTCACTCATGCTCCAAGTGGCTGGGGGATCAGTGCGGGCTCATGCCAAGTTCTAGGCTGCAAGCCGCACGAAAAGGGAAGACGAATCAGTTCACGCAGCAGCTGGCTTCTTCTGCTTACTGTATGACCCGTCCGTCCCTTGGGGGCAGGAAACTGGCAAGGCCCATGTGAAAGGAATGAGGAAGTGTATTCCTCCCCAGGCGACAGCTGTGAGTCCGGCAGCAATTTTCTCTCCTTGTGTTATGTGCACGTGTAAATGTGTGTGTTCATAGGATGTGTGAGTACAGATAAGAGAATGAAAAGTCAGAGGACAACTCAGGTGTTTGCCCTCACCTTCCACCTTGAGATGCTGGGTTTGTTTGTTTGTTTTGTTTTTTGTTTTTGTTTTGTCTTGTTTCGTTTTTTTGAGACAGGGTTTCTCTGTGTTGCCCTGGCTGTCCTGAAACTTGCTCTGTAGACCAGGCTGGCCTCAAACACACAGAGCCCCACCTGCCTCTGCCTCCCAAGTGCTGGGACTACAGGTGTGTGCCACCGCACCGCCACCTGGCTGGATGGTGGGTTGTTTTTTTGGTTTTTGTTTTTCTAAGTTTTTTTTTTTTTAAAGAAATTTGTTATTATTTACTACTGTTATTGTTGTTGATGTTGTTGTTGTAGACGTGTGATGTGTATATTCGTGATTGTGGTCAGTAACACTTTTGCTGGTCTGAGTGAATGTCACAGCCTGTGTGTGAAGGTCGGGTAGCAACCTTACAGAGATCTGGGGACTGAGCCAAAGGTGTCAGGCTTCAGTGGCAGGCCATCATCTCCCTGGCCCAGAGTCTTGATGGGAGACAGCATTCTGTAAATATGTTTCTCTTATTGGTTAATGAATAAAACACTGTTGGCCAATAGGAAAGAAAGATAGGCAGGACTAGGAGACAAGGAGGATTCGGGAAGTAGTAGGGAGGAAATTCAAGATGCAGGACCAACTGGGTAGAACTGCGGGCCCTCTCTC